CTCTCTCTCTCTCTCTCTCTCTCTCTCTCTCTCTCTCTCTCTCTTATCTCTATTAGCATTTTTTTCGTTATTATTTAAACACTAACTATGGCCCGGCCATAATACATTGTGACACGATTTTTTAAAAAAATGTAATGAAATTGTAATTTCCAGGCCATGAGAAGTGTTTTCAAGGTCACTTATTGAGTTTTACGCTTCACAATATCAATTAATTGCTATGCAAATTACCTCTTGCATGCAAGAATCGTGTAATCAAATGAAAATATTCTCACTTACCGTTTGTACACTTCTGGTTCGGCAATATAGTTGACCCAGTCGGATAAATAAAGTGTAGCTGCTTTAAGCCATCTTCGTCGGAATGCTTGATTGTGTAATGAATTAAATAGTTTATCATAATCTAATTTGCCATCACGACCGGTGAAACCCTGTATTCAAAATTAATTTTCGGTTATTTTTTTTCAACTATTCCTCTTCGAATACATTATTTTATTGTAACTAAAAACAAAAAGCGGTTTGCATCAACATCAATAATTTAATTGAAACTCACTTTGAATATTTGATTGACACCGGATTTTTCCCAAAGAGCTTCGGCCAATTCAGAATTTGAGAAATGATCCCACATAACATGTATCCGCTCCAAAAATGGTGGCAACACCCATTGATGGTCTTTGTGCTTTGCATGCACCTGTTCTCCAGCCGGTCCGTTGAATGAATTGATCGCTTGAATGGCCATTGGCAATAGGCTCATTAAACCTTCATTTGATTTATCACCTTGACTATCAACATTGTTTGTATTTCCCATGAATGCCGATGCAATATTTAAAATGGTATCAAGACCAATACCACCGTCTTGTCCAGCCGAATTATTTGATCGTTTTCGACGTTTTACTTGTGGTTGATCATCATCATCGTCACCATTGTCACCGCCCGATGTGAACATTTCAATGACATTGCCAATAATCGATGGATCAAATCCAGATCCACCGCCATTATTATTATTGGCGTTCATCAATTGACTGAGTCCGGTTAAAATTTGGGCAGCACCAAGACCACCGCCATTATTTGATTTCGATCCATCTTGTTGAACTAAACTTCCGATCAATTGTGCGATGCCAGCAATGCCATTGGTACCAATGCCATTGCCACTGCCACCACGACCGCCTTGTTGATTGGCAAATGTTTCTTGTAAAAATGATGTGGCAATATCGAGGAATGGATTCGAATCGTCCACTTTATTATTTGACTTTTGTGCTGTGTGTGAATTTCCATAGATAACACACAAATTCAATAGCACAAAAGTTATATGTTTCACTTTGAAATTCATCGTTTATGATTTTGAGGAAAAAAACCTAAATTAAATTCCAATACTGTAGTTTTAAGTTGTTGAGATTTGTTTGAATTTTTTTTTTTTTTCGTTTTCACTTATGTACACAACAACGAATACGATGATTTTTCTATTATAATTTAAAATAAAAACAATCCATTGACTAAACTTTACTACTATAGATCGGTATTGCTTGATTGCAGTGGCTCGAAACAAATTTTATGTCCGAATGTTGATTAGTTCATGTTTGAGCTGAATAATGTCGCGTACAGCGTACACCACGGAATTTGCACACGTAATACGTAAAATGAGTGAAATATCACAAACAAATAAAAAAAATCCAAATAAATTCTGTTCAAAAGACACAACACACCCGAATTATATATATATATGTAATGAAACAAATGAAAAAGAAAAAAATACCGAAAATATACGTCTATACAGGTTGACCGTTTCTACTGTTCTGAATAACATTGCAGCCATAATGACTATAACAGTACTATGTGAGATCACTTGAGTAGAAAATGATATGGAAGAAAGAAGAATGAAGAAAGAGAAGAAAATGAAGACGACGACCAAGTTCTTTTCGGTGAACAATATAAAGAAATGATGAAGAAGCGAAAGAAGAAATGAGACGAGATTTGAGTGAGTGTGCTGTTGATCGCTAACATTACCATCGAAATATATCGTGTGTACATGTACACATACGCCAACTTTACAAGAATATGTAGAGCTTGGATACAACTATATATATATATATTCATTCTATTGCATAGCCGTTCAATCTTTATTAAGCCGTCCGGCTCTCTCGCATATGAGTATATATCTTTCTGGCCCGGTCGCATTTGTATGTGTGATATTAATGTGCTTGTGTATACGATACAGCACACAAAGAGTTCAATAAACGATTTATTCTTCAATACGGAACGCTCAGAGTTCTATACACTTGAGATCATTCGGTGTTTTGGTTCGACGACTAAGTAACACTTTGATGCAACGAAATGAAAAAAGAAAGCAACAGTTTGGTAAATTTGCCTCCATCTACAGTTTTCTTTCTCTAGTTTTTTGATGTATGAAAAAAAAACCAGACATTTGCATTCGGACAAGAACCGCCATAACAATTAGATCTCGGCAGAAAATATATTAATGTTACCAAAGTCGCCACTTCATTAAAGCCACAAGAAACATGTACAATGTCGAGTCTTTAGAATTCATTTAAAATAGATTAGTAAGTCTCCTCAAAATTCTTTCTTGATAAATATCGCATTTCAGACATTTAAAGCATTTAATTTTACAAATCACGTATTCCATAATGCATTCGATTTTAAATGACACGTAGAACTTTTCAATTAGTATTTGTACAGTATTTTCGCTTGTAGTTTTTAATTGGTAACAGAAGCGATTCTATGCTAATAATTTTCATTGCTAAAAATACATATTAGCTTTATCTTATCAATTACACAATGTTCACGACCAATAAAGTGCGAAAAATATTATCTTTTTAAAGTCACAAATAGATTTTATGGACATGTCATGTATGCACGATTTACATATTATTTTCTAAAACATTCTCGAAAATAGTGAAAGAAATCATTTTAAGTGAAAATACAACGTTTTTTTTTCTGGAATTCAAATCATGAAATATTAGCTCAGGCATTATGTCTGAGAAAAAGTGACTGCTGATTAATAAATATTTTGAACATAACGTTTTTCTATGGGAATTCCTTATATGTATCGTTTGCCGATCAACACACATACGTTTTATCGAATCGAAAAAGTTCCATTGATCAATCGGATTATAGATGAGCCATTGGGCTTGATGTGAAATATGGACACACATACACTACTAAATATTTTTTAATAATATCGACATTTGCAAAAAGAAGAAAACAAGAGCTGTCAATCTGATAAATATATCGTTAAAAATTTTAAACTATTTATAAAACTTTTATCTATACGGATTAATTAAGACGTTACACATTAAGCAACGAAACAGGATATGAAACGAAAGAGTATTCGATTGAGTCAGCGCTACGAGAGTGTATCATTTGTGCTTACACTTAACATGAATGATACATAACATATGAGTTGGTTGGCTCCGGTTGTGACCTACTTAAAAATTCCATTTCACCGGTTCTTCGAGCGACATACATACGCGCGCACATCTCTCTTCCATTCTTCCATTCTCTTTGGCTGTGTCGAAATTGTGCAAATCTTTTATTCTGGAATTTCACGGCTCTATTCGAAAATTGATTGAATATTTAACATTCTGGCAATTACGTGTATTTTCTATAGTAAATTAACATGCATTAACCATCAATTTTCGGTTTAAGTGTCACATCAACATCGCTGACTCTTTGTCAACAAAAAAAAAATTGATTCAATTTCATGATGTGATAAATTCCGTCTCATTTTATCGTCGTGGATTGTTGATTTTGATTTGCTCAAGCGTCGAAATCTTTTACATTATATATGTAGACTAATTTCTTCAAAAGTTTTTTTCTGCTGTTTGTTTTATTTTTTTATTATTTTGTTTTTAGAGCATTAACTACTACGTAAGCTTAGTGACCTATTTAAATACGGAAGAAGTACATACAAGAAATTTACGATCCTCGATTCTACCCATAAAAAATTACATTCGTCGCCCGTTTTTCTTCTTCTTCTTCTCTCTTCTCTTTACATTTGTTGCGTCAAACTTCGTTATACGGTTCCTCGTTCTGAATCAATCATCATCATTGCCATCGCCATCGTCAACACCGTTTAATATCATTTATGCAAATGATCACGTTAAATATTTACATGGTATATCTGAGTTCCGTTAGGTGGTTTTTTTCTTCTCTTTCTCTATTTCTGTCTTGTGTTTTTTCTGGTTGTTCATATGTGTGTGCGTTTGTGGTCGTTGTTTAAGTGACGAAGTTTTACGGTAACAAATATTAAATGACTGATATAACATACGCTACGTAAACACAAAAGATTCGTTGAAATTCTTTTATTTCTTCATGCGAATCATAGCAGCAATTATTTAATTTTCATGTCTCTATCTCTGTGTCCATGAAGCATTTTTTGAATCAAATCGCAATTCACGATTCGTGACGTGCATGATATTTCATGAAAAGTGTCATCGCGGCAACGTTATGAGCCGATTAATTGGTTGTCAATAAAATCAGTATAATACTAATATGATCTGGGGTATGTTTTTTAGTCACTGACAAGTTTTTTTTTTATTTCGGTACAATAATTTTGTCAGCTGTGAGCAGAAATTGACAAAATTTGTCAGAGGCAAACAAAACATATCACACATCATATTTTCGTGAGATTTGTATCCATGTTTGATAAAGAAATATCGGGTGTATGCTGGACCTAAATCTTTTTTCTTTTGTTATATTTTGTTTGGTGGTGAATACATCTTCTTCATACGAATTAAAATGCTGGCAAGAACAAAATAGAAAAACATGAGAAGTAACTTAGTTCTTTATCATATACTAAAATGTATAATAAAATTCTTGGTTCTTCTTGTTTTCTTTTTCTTTAAGTGAATTATATAGTTTTATCGAGAACGGCGAAGGTTTTCACATTAACTTTGTATTTCAATAAGTTACAACGAAAAAAATGAAACAGACATGAGGATTGTCAAGTAAGTTTTTTATGTTCACGTTTTTTTCCATAATATGCGTCATAGCATTTCATTCTTTTGTTTCGCTTTAAATTAATATTATGATATTACAAAAATGTTGGTTATTGTGAACTAATTTGTAAAATCATTTTAATTTTCGTCCGGTAATTTTTGTTGTTGATGGCAAATTTTTATTAAAACTTAACGAAAGCTTAGAATGAAACATTAAATAGTATATGATTTTATAATTTAAATAAACCTTCTTTACAATAGAGCCAATTTAAGTTTCAGTTGATTTAATAAATGATAACCAAAAAATTGATCGACTCATACTTATTATATCTATTTGGTAGTTAGTTATAACCGGAAGCAAAAGAATGGTCTGAAAATGTTTATGGTGAAAAATTACCCTTTTTAACTGTCTGATTTGGAAATATTATTCAAATTGATCATTTTTTGTATACTTATCTAAGCACCAAAGCTTATGCCTAATAAATGATTGCTTGTAGCTGTAGTTTGTAGTAATTTAGTTATTTTTTGTTGAAACTATGTTTGATTTCTCAATCTTTAGAATATTTTTATGATGTGAGGTGTGATAAATGATCATAAGATATCATTCAAATGTGAATGACATTTGAAATTGAAAGTGAAGCACAATTAATTTTTAAAAAAATTCAATTTTTTTCGCTCATTTGAAATTTACTAGCATTGAAAGATAATCAGACAATATTGCATTCAGTTTCCCCGCAGAAGAGGTGAGTTTTTGTGGATTTGTTCGAACGTTTAATATCCGTTAAGCTATTAATTTTTTCGCAATGTTACAACGAAAAGAGAGTAAATAAATGATTAGTCATTTGAATAAATTCATTTGTCACAATGAAAAAATTAAGAAATTAAAATGGAAGGCAAAAAAGAAAATGAATTCATCGACCTAATTGTCGTGAACCATTTCAGAATATGGTTTGTTACTGTTGTCACACAGCAACAATCATAACTTTTGCTGAGCTCATTTCACATCAGAGCCGAACGCAAATGGTAACAATAAAAAAATTACACTTGAAACTACACTAAAATGGTCTCCAATTAATTCTACCGTGAACGTTTGGGCATTGGACGTTAACAATTGTTTCTTGTTTTAACAATGTATACATAGTGAATTAAAGGGAGCATGCTCCGCTCAGTGAAGTCTTGTGTTTCTACAAGTTATATGCGTTTAAACCAAAACAGTAAGAAATTCATTGATCGAATTTGTATGATATAAATATTAATATAGAAGCAACAAAGTGTTTTAGATGCCAAGGCTTTCTTTCACAAATAGACAAATAAAAGTTCTTACCTCAGCTGACCAACTCAAAAAATCAACAAGAAGCAAAATCAATTATATATTTGTAATTATATATATGTGTAAACCCAATAAAGTCTATATTGGCATTCAGATTTTCATTTATTTTTACTACTTTAAGGGGAGCATGTGAGTATTCTCAAGAAAAAGAGATTCAATTTTGATGGTAAGTTATTTATTTTTTATTTCATAATATCATTTTCTCATTAAAAAGTTCCGGATAAATATCGATATCCGATCCTTTTGAAAAATTGTATGATAAAAATGCTTTAAAAAAATATGGTTCTTATTCTCCGGTCATCATTTCCATGAATTCTGCAAAAGAAAATGTTTGTGTTATTTCCAATTGGCAACAGTCAAAAATATAAAGTTAAATAAAGAAAATGCCAATAAACTAACCATCAAAGTCGACGGTGCCTGAGCCATCGGAGTCGATTTCTTCAATCATACCGTCCAATTCATGGTCTGTCAATTGATCGTCCAATTCACGCAAGATTTCCTTCAAGCATGAGGTTGGAATGAAACCGTTACCGGCTTTGTCGTACAAACGGAAAGCTTCTTTCAATTCCTTTTGCATTGCTTCATCATCTTCTTCAACGATGAATTTAGCGGCGAGCTGAACGAATTCAACGAATTCCAAACGGCCCGATTCTAATGACGATAAAAAATCAATCGTTCAATTAAAAATGACGCATTTTCAATGGTTAAATAGAACTTACTGTCTTCATCGACTTCTTCGATAAGTTCTTCCAAGATTTTCTTGTCGAATGGTTGTCCCATAATACGCAAGATGTCTGAAACCATTTCAGTTGGAATACTTCCAGTTTTTTGAGAGTCAAAGCTGTTGAATGCCTTTTGGAGAACTACAAAGTGGAACAAAAATTTTATGAATTAAAATGTGGACACAAGTCATGATAAATGAGTAAGTGTTGGTTGAATGCTCAAATTGTACGAATCGCCGCATGTAAAAACGAAACCGATTTCAGATCGCATTTGTTGATTGTCATTATCCCACACTATCTATCAAATCGACACAAAACATTGTTTATTTCCCTTTGAAATTTTACTTATTTTAATCGCCTACTTTTTGTAAATTCACCGATTTTCAGTTAATTTGTTTCAACACGAATTGCATGCGACTAATTCTGCTGGGGCAGTAATCTCTCATCCTCATTGAACTGAATGTTTATAGTAATTGGTCATTTTGTGGATTTAGCATTTTTGATAATTATTCTTTTTAGTAATTCTTAGAAGTGTCCGCCACTTCAGATCATACATGCGTGTGTGGGAGGTGGTCTCTGGTTTGATCTCCTCTTGACTATTTTTTTTTTTAGATTTGCCATAGAATGCATAAAAATAACAAAAATACACTGATTTTGAAGTGTTTTCCAGCCAAATTTCGACTCGTTTAGCTCGCCAGGACTTATTTTTATATCATTCTCTCATAAAAGATCGTTATTTCTACATAAAACCCCTTCTAAGTCGAGACCGAAATCCAATAGTACCTTACTCTATAGTTCAGTAATTTTTGGTGTAGGGTGGCGCCACCGTATGTACATAGAAATTTACATTTAAACTAACGCCATCTAACGTGTTTGATAATTTTTTCCCCAAAAAAGTGGCACTATAACCCGTCTTTGCCGAAATCAATTGATGAAAAAACCGTGGGCGTTGTATGCTTCAAATTGAGGTCAATATTTCGACGTAGAACAAAGGAAAACAAAACTTAACCCGCAATACATTCAGGTCAACTGAATCAGTTGTGATAACGGGAAAAATACTCGAAGGAAATTGTTTTGCATGATCATTGCAGCATGATGCACTTGATTTAACATATGAAGAGTACACATTGTCCAGTTTTATTGCAATTAGTTCACAAATAAAGTTCTATGAAATCGGTAGTACAATTTGAGCATGTTTTTCTTTTCTTTTTTCTTTTCTTAAAATTTCAACACCCACCGGCAATTTGTTCTGGTGTCAAGTCTTCATCCTTTGATCAATATGAAAATTGAGAAAGAAATAAAGACAAATTAGATTATGGTATGCAAACATGATTTGAATACAGTTAAATTTATTTATTTTCAACAAAAATATCGACGTTATTTTAATACGAAAACTTCACACTTGTTCTCTAGATTTTTTTTTCTTTGTTCATTCAATTTAAACGTATCAATTTTAGTAACATTTCATACACATTCCAAAATAAATAGCATTGTTTTTAATAATTATTCTCATGAAATCTTGGTCGTTCACTTTAAGTTACAAATTCAAACAAAATATCACATATTTTTCACATTAACTAAATTTTCTATTACTTACAATTTGATCCATTTTGATTTAGTTGATTTTTTTCTCGAGTGAATGAAATACGTACTGAAATATATAAAATCACGAAATTTTTTCATGAACTTTTTTTGTTGAAAAATAGCAATGAAAAAAAAATATAATAATTCGAAAATCACAGAAAAAAGAACAGTGAACAACTTTTCTCCTATCTAATTTTTAAAATTCCAGTCGATAAAGCAAAAAAAAAAATCGTAGGAAAAAATTACCGAATTGTCCGTCCACTATTTCGGGTAGCGATCTCTGCTCAACTGACTGATTTTGTAGAAACGTTAACGATCACATAACGTTTGTTTAGAGAATTGTTTTTATTATTACTGGTGCTAAATTTTCTCCTTGCGTCGTCATCATTTTTAGTGTGCGGCGAGAAAAAACACCGAAAATTATAGCTGTTTTCCACATCAGCTATGAAATACTAAAATTTCTATTTTGTTCCTTATTCACATTGTATTTCTCCGTTTGACTCGAGAACGGTTTCATAGTGCAAACAACAATAATATTTCGAAATGGGCGTATGAACCACACGCTGATGTGGTTGTTGTTGTTGCTGCTTTTCTCTATCCTACTCGGTTGTTCATGGATTTTTATCGGATGTTATTGTATTGCGCATTTTGATCAAAAATAAAATACAGATTCCGAGCATCAGATCGCACGCTTCGCTATGGAGCCCACGTCAGCTAGATCTTGACTATTTCATCACATTCACTCTCTAACAAGGCTTATTTGATATTTATATAGATTTTATAGTCGTTTTTATTCCTCCTTCATATTATTTATTTTTATTTATTTTTTTCAGAACACAATAAGGCAAATCACACGAATCGGGTCGATCTAGCAACCATTGTCCACGAAGTTCAGTTGTTTTTTTTACTGTAAACTAAAGTGACTTTTTTTGCTCATTCATCAATGGATAACACCCATTCAATCTCCTTTGGTTATTATTATGAAAAAAATGTGTTCTGATCTCTCAAGATTGATTAAAAATGTTGAAATCAGTGATTTTAAATTGGATGCTCAGTATCCATAGGAGCAAACATTTACACATTGACTGTGTGTTTACATGTTGTAGTCCTTCTATTCCGAATGCAAATTCCACACATGCAAACACACTCAACGTATACAGTGAAGGCTTGTGCGATTCTTGCGCTGCTTAGTTTTCTCATCCAAAATGCTCAGCTATGCTATGGATACTGATCATCCATTTGAAAATCACTGATTAAAATCAAGTAAAACGTTCTAGGATCGCTCTTCAAATTGATCCTCAGTTTAATATGCTTTCAAATCAGAAAGCACCATAATTTGCAACACGTGTGGTTTGTAATACGAACTTCGTATCCACTTGTTGCTTGCGAGTCAACAGTCACACTTATCGAAAAAGTCTTTCGCAGAATTTTTTTTATATATATATTCTTCCCCAATGGATTTGTTTTCATTGTGACATGACAGGCTTACTTTTCATAATAAATATCAAATCAACAGTTCAGTTTTTATTTACTTTAAACCATGCATATTGAAATATAAATTCAATAGATTTCAACAAAAGTGCGACTGACAAGATTTAAAATATAAATCAAGACACTTTTGCTGAAATCTTTGACGCATTCGATGAAAACATTTTCAATAGACGAATCGTATGATTGCAGTATATAAATAATTAAATTGTTTTTACTTGTTTTTACTGTACCTCATTTCAAGTGGATTTCATTTTTGTATTCAGATTGAATTTCCGACGTATGTTCAAGCCAATAAAATAGCCAATTAATTGTTTTTTATGCCTTTTCTCCATAGATTTCGATTCAAAACAGAATAAAATGTGGTTCTAAATTTAGATTTGTCATCTGTAAAACAGACGAAATTGTGTATGTTACGATTCAAAATATGAAACAATATAAATATTCAGAATGAACAAATAACAATATTCGAATTCACCGTCTAGGCTTTGAAATACAAACAGACGCCGTCGACTCACACTTTTGAGTGACTTTTATTCTCATAAATATTTTTTTTTTATTTTAAGAGACTCTTTGGAAATTCCTATTCTAATAGCTGAATTTTCAAAGTCCGACAGAACTATGAAAAAAATATTTATAAATAAGAAAGTAAGGAAAACTGAAAGAAAGTGAGTGGAGTCATTCAGAATGTAGGGCCTGTATGTTATCGTTTCATGAATCGATGACAGATAAATAATAAATGTTGACATTTCATATATCGTTTTGTAGATTAAATTACATGTTTAAATTACAAGTACATGATATTTTTGTCTGAAACTGAACAAAAGATGTAATGATTCACTATTATGATGTAATGATAATTGAAAAGATGTAATGATAATTACAAGAATTTGTAGATACAGGTGATTGATTGAAAAACAAACATCACAAGTCTAAGGTTGTTCCACCAACAAATCCATGATAATCTCTATGAAAATAAATTAAAATCAACTGAAAATGGTTCATTTTTCAAATACATTGTGCAATCATTTTTAATGCACTTCAAATTCGATAAAAATGATAAGACTAGCATATATAAGGATCTTGATGAAGAAACAGCAGTAATTACAGATCGACATCAGGTTAGATTATTTTTATTCTTGACACCAATAATTTAGATTTTAATTGTTATTTTTATAGATTCCATGTCTTAAAATGTGATGTGAAGATTTAAGAGCACGCGTTGCAGTTTGTATGCAAATGATAACAGCATTTACTAATATTGCACAACAAATTATCTCAAACCTGAATTAGTGTGCTGACATAATTTTAGAAAACTCAATTTAAATATGGCATCAGTGAAGAGCACTTGTAGCCTTGAAAATATAAAATAAAATACATTACCGTTTTAAAGAAACTTCTTGATTACTTATTTTACTGTTAGATGTTTGTGATAAAAAAATGATTTCTAAAACTGAAATATTGCAAAAAAATAAAACAAAGAACGTGGCTGTCTTTTATGAAACTTGGGAACTTGAAAAGTTAAATATATTGAAAAAGTGATACTTTTTTCGCCCATACGTCCAAAAAAGACAAAAAATGTTGGTAAAAAATCCATGAATTCTCATAATTTAGTTAGGATTAAAGATAAATGTTCTCTCACTCATATGGTGGCTTGATTTTCTCTCTATCGCTTCAAAATGCCAATATTTTGTTCAGTTCACTACATACATATTGTATATGTGACATTAAAAATGGACACAACAAAAAAACAGTTCTAACTTTGCTGACTTTGTTCACACAACATGCATTTCACTCGAAATTCTTTTTTTTTTGTTAAATAAACGCTCGTGTCGTTAAATTGTTATTACCATTTCTATCCAAAAGCCCAAAGTGGATTGGCACACCAACAAATCAATTATTTATGTTATTTGATTCAATACATGTTGTTTTGATTTGGAAAATAAATATCAAACAATTTTACAGTGAGCGAATTTCAACGGTATTCATTGTAGGGCAATCATCATTTGCCAATAGGTAGTGATTTAAAGCAACCTGAGTTGAATGGGCAAATGATTTAAAAGGAAAGTAATATCATTTTATACAGTATTTTATATTTTATTATTGCTGAGAGTTATGAGAGTATAAGAGTTTCAAGAATGTCTCGAACTCGCACTTTTGCTACGTTATAATTGAATAATTTTCTAATTATTTTAGGTCCATTTTATTGCGTATAAAACGAGCTAATTTGATAATACGGGATTCTATACAGTTCAATTGTTTTTTGCAATAACAACAGCTACATACGAATCCATTCGGTTTTATATTTTCGATGCAGTTATGCATGTAAAAATAATGTTAATATATCAAACAAATGTTTTTCATAAATAAAAACTATAAAAATTATCCAAACGCATTTTGCACTTGAAAATTGAAGAAAAATAAAACATCATTGTGGTAGTGAAAACAATCGAAACAATCACTGTTGTGTTATTGTCTTCTCATGTAGTCAATTTTATCGTTACAGATTCTCTCTCTAATAACGGAGAAAATTTAATAAATTTCCCCAACAGACACAGCTTAGGAATGACTAATGTAAAATGATAATTAGTGACGAACTTTCAATGATCGCCAAAAATAGGTTATTGTCGCCAAAAATATTATTGTATATTTCAATTCATGGCGCAAACAGTTGTTGCATTCACTATATTTGTTTAAAAAAAAACAGTGTTCCCAATTGATCACGAACGACTTTGCATACAAATTTTGGTTGCGCAATGACACACGCAATGCATATGTGGTCAGATTGAAGGGTGAGGAAAATAAGCAGGTTGTAAAAATGCAGCAGCAATTATAAAATTCAATTCCAAAGTTATGCTTGATTACCGGAATTTTGTATCTGTTTCAGTTGCAAATTGCATGTGAATAGTGTCATCGCTAATGGAAAACCGATTTGTGATACTTATCATTTCAAGGTTACCTTTCTCATCGTACCATAATTTGGTTTGTTGGTTAAATTTCTTAATTGTGTTATGAATTGCGCGTCAATTTTCAATTTATTGCTAAGCTTGATGTCTGTGCAACAATATCATGGATTTAAGTTGCATAATTTTACGTAATTTTCCATTTTACATTGTAATAAAACATCAAACATTTATAACGTTTTTATGTTGTTCAGTTCTAGGTGGGATTTCTTCATCTGCGCATTTATTCAAGATACAAGAACCACTGCATACGGATTCCAGTATAATAATCCATGCAATCGACAATGTTATGTATCGATTTTACGAAAAACAAACATCACCGGTATTCATAATGCACCAATCGTCGCAAATGGTTAGCAATATTTTAAATCCAATCGAAGTCGCTGGCGAAATGGTTCGTATTGAAGGCAACCGAACAATATTGACTTATGTAATTGAAAACCATGTTGGTGTGACACAAACCAAATACCTTCGATTTTACAATATATTTCTCATAGATGGTTACGAGAGTTTCAGGTTAGTTTTCGATAATGAAAATTTCCGTACGTCTGAACAGGAGTCTGCCAGTATCTCATTTTTCTTCTCAGCCATACACATTTTCTGATTGCGTCTAATTTCATTTCCGTCTCTTTCTGTTCTTAAATTAGGTTAATTTTCGCTCAAATGACAGCGGATAGATATGATTTCGTGGGTTTTTACACCATTGTAGTGACAAAATATATCAATACGTTTCGGGAAATTGTTGCGAAAATCCTCAAAGACTGTTGGTCGATTTACATTGCAAACGTTATTGTTTTAGTGCCAACGGAAAACTATGATCAAATTCTGTTATACACGTATTTTCCATACACCCCGTCACATTGTGAAGGTGTCGAACCAATTATTTACGATACTTTTGAAAATGGTGCATTTGCATTGAATGTAAACATTTTTCCCGATAAATTTCGTAATTTTCACAAATGCCCATTGGCTGCCGCTTTGTATCATTTTCCGCCGTTTGTTATTTTAAAACCACAATCAAATGGATCGTATTACATAGACGGCATTGAAGGTACAATAGTTCGAGTTATAGCAAAACAATTGAATTTCACAACGATCGTTCATTTATCGAGAACAAACATTTTAAAAAATATAACCAACTCTTCGAATACATTGGATGAGAAACATATACATCAACGATCACTTGATTTAGTAAGTTATGACAATTATACGAATAAAATAATAAGATAAAAAAATGTTTCCCAAAATTTTAAGGTGGAAAATGGAAGTGTAAATTTAACAGTTGGTGCAATTATGATGGCTGAATCTCGGGCCAAAATTTTTTCAGTATCGTTTGCACACTTTTATGGGAGTCTTCTTTTTGCAATTCCACCGGGGCGACCATATTCTTCGCTTGAAAAACTGTTTTTCCCATTCAAAATGAAAATTTGGATATGCCTTTGCATTTTACTTATAATTGCAACCATTTTAAATGTTGCTCTGAAATTTTCTTCAAAGAGCAAACGGGACTTTTTCGTTGGAACATCAAATAATATGCCATTACTCAATATGATGAACGTATGGTAGGATTTGACACATTCTCCAATGCATTTTTCAAGACAAAGAGATTCTTTTTGGAAAGAAATCATGAATCAGTTTTTACAATGCAATTTTTCTTATAATATAGTTTGGGTGGAACGATTTTTCATGTTGCAGTGCCAGTGAGAAATTTTGCACGAACATTACTTATGATCTGGTTGCTGTCGACACTTATACTACGAAATGCGTACCAAGGAAAACTATTCGATAATTTACGAAGCAATCAACGTAAACAGCCATATTATAGCATGGATCACCTGTTCAATTCAAATCTGAAACTATATTTATATGAGTCATTTTATCAGGATGCGGCGGATAATATACCAAATCAATATGATGGACGGTAATCATATAATTCGATAAATAGTTTGCTGATAATAATGATAATAAATCCGTTTTCCGATGGTCTAGGTTGTCGTTGTACGATTTGCGTGACATAAATTTTCTGCGAAATCTAACCGATGACGATTTTGATGGCGCTTACATGACATTAAAACAAATTGTTGATTATTTTAATTTAGAAAATTTTCCGAATATTAATATTCTAAGAACAAAAGACTACGTTCAAATGATGCCATTGTGCATTTTCTATCGCAAACATTCTTGCCTAAAACGACCGTTCAATGAACAAATCAATGCATATGCATCGTCTGGATTGATTATGTCATGGGCGGGTCGATTTGAAAAACCACATTATCTGAAACGTGATCAAAGCGAACCAAAATCATTGTCATTCCATCAAATTAGCGGCCTCATTACAATTTGCACACTTTGCATCGCTGTTAGTGTAATTGTATTCATTTTGGAATTGATGTCGATCAGTCACGAAACGATTAAAATCCTTTTAGATTTTCTCACATTTAATACGAAATTTGAACGCAAACCACACATTTCAACATCTAATACAGATACAGAACTCATCACTTTAAATGAACCACAATAATGTGTCCAATCAATTTGAAACCAGTTTTAAGCAAATTTTGATAAGAAGTAGATCGTCAAGCGCACAGTGTAGTTTGCAAAATGACACCAACGATTTTAACGTCGATTCTTTTAGTGGCGATAGCCTTGCAACTTGGTGCTGGCGCTCCAAACGAATTTCGAATAGATCGTGACATTGAGATTTTGAGCAAAGCCACAATACAAATCATAAAACACTATTATAGTAAAAGAGCATCTGGATTATCATTGATTAGATTGGCCTGGCATACTCGTACATATTATAAACAATCAGAGGTTATAAATCGCGTTCTACTGTATGCAAAATCAGAGGTGTCATATGTGTTGGAAGAACCGAAGTACATGAAATTCTCACCATTTCTTCGTTTTGACGCAATCATATTTCTAGACAGTTATGAGGCTTTTCGGTAAGTGTTTTTTGGCTTCTCCAAATACGTCTTGATTTATTCCATTCAAAATTTTCTATTTTTAGTGAATTTTATGAAGAAGCTTCAATCAAAACTGTTCACTATGCTGGTTTTTTTACAATTATACTCACGGAATACATTGGATCCGATAAAATCACTGCAATCTTCAACGATTGTTGGAAACGTCATACGCTCAATATAAATGTATTACGTTTGGATCGAATTAAAGATCATGTGAATGTTTATACATATTTTCCATTTTCGCACAACAATTGTGAACGAATCGAATCAAGATTGCTAATGACCTTGAGCAATACAACGGCCGTTTCGTTGGTAAATAATCATTTTTTCCGCAATAAATTGCGCAATTTTCACAAGTGTCCACTATGGCTGGCAACATATAATGTTCCACCATATATGATTTTACGTGAATTGAACAACAGTGAATCGCCCACGACCTATGGCATCGAAGGAAATCTATACCGTGAACTATCGAAATCGCTTAATTTTAAACCAATGGTTCGCATTGGAAAACCAAGTGATAATTTTGCAATGTTAAAAAAAGGCAACGTGAATCTAACAATGTCTGCAGCTATAAATACTGCTGAACGATCGAAAAAATTTACAGCATCTTTTCCATATTTTTATACATCGGTGGTGTTTACGGTAAATGTTTTTGAACTATTTACTTATGAATCTTTTTTTATAAATTATGACGTTTTTCTAGACACCACATGGATCACCATTTACACCATTGCAGAAATTAATATTGCCATTTCAACCCATGTTATGGACATGTATGTTGAGTTTGACTGTAATTTCATTGACTGTAATCGTTCATGTATCAAATGGTCCGAAACATTGGCGTGATTTGATATTTGGCGAAAAGAATCGATCGCCATTCTTAAATTTTATCAACATTGCGCTGGGTGGCGTTATAACTCAAGAGCCTGTTCGAAATTTTCCGCGTATGCTATTGCTTATTTGGTGTTTGAGCAGTATGGTGTTACGCAGTTCATATCAAGGTGCACTGTTCAGTTCAATTCAATCGCAAAAATCAGCAGTGGACATTGATAGTTTGGATAAACTTGTACAATTCAATTACACTATTTATTCATCGGGACAAATATTACGACTATTGGAATTCGGATCACCACAGATAAGTAAAAAGTTCGTTGTTTGTTTTTCATCATTTTCGACAAAAAAGACTCGAGTCTAATGGATTTGTTCTATCACAGTCTAAAAATGCATGATGATAGCTTTGACATAATGGAGAGCGTAAAAGATCCAGAATTTCATGGTTCGTTTGTGACAACCGACGATTTTATCGGTTGGCATAATTTACTGTATTTTAATACGAGCACAATTCGACCGTCCAAACAGCGTATATTCTTGCTTCCGTTGAGTCTATTTATGGAAAAGCACTCATGTTTAGAGACGATCATAAATCAACAAATTGAATTACTCTACAGCAATGGTTTAATTGAAAAATGGAGTAATGTGTATCGTGATAAATTAATGATTGCAAGAAAACGGCCAAAACAATCGCCTAAAAAATTGAGATTCGGTGAAGTCAGTGGCGCATACAAATTATGCACATTTCTTTATGGCATAAGCACAATATTATTTATTGGCGAAATAGTATCAGTAAAAGTCGGTTATCTTCGTAAGTTATTCGACCATGTATAAAATTGTATAAAGTTTTGTTTTAATTGAAAATCGATAAATTAGAAGTTTCGCGTTCCATAAGTATGGTGTGTGTGTGCGTGTGCGCTCGTTTGTAACTTTGACGTCCTCATCATGTTGTATTTATAATAATAAAAAAAATAAATAAGTGCATTAACGCAACATATCGAAAATGCTACTGTGTATGCACGACCTGAAGTAAAGAAAAAGAAGAAGAAGAAAAACGTTTTTTTTTTTGTGTTAGAGATGAGTTTTGCTGAACTAAAACACAAAACCGAATGAAAGCATTCCGATGTCTTAAAATGCATTCGTGTGCATATGCCTATTGACGTTCAACCAATCTAACCGTTTTAATTTTTACGCCAGTGAACAACTCTCGGATGCAATTGGTTGTTTTTCTCATCTTGTTCATCGCTTCGCACTCTTCATGCACACCACATGTGAAGAAGAAAAAACCCAACAACACCACACATATAGACCAGAGAATTGTTGCCATGGATGAATTTTATCTTGCATTCACTGTGCAATGCAATAAGCGAAAAGAAGTAGAAGAGAAGCGAAAAAAAAATCACTCACAATGAGAAATAACTGCATTTATAACCGATCAATTATTTGCGCTTTCTCTCTGATTAACTTGTTTTTGTTGGACAAACTTAGAAAATGAAGGAAAGAAGCCGATGGCAGCAGTAACAACAACAATAACCACAACAACAACAATCACAACAACAACAAAAATATATAATAGATATAACCAATCGAAGTGAACTTACAGAGATAGAAAAAACATTAGAGAAAACACAGTTTTCAGTACTTCATCGGTCTTCAATACAATAACTTCAGTAACAGTTGCAATCAACTAAACTTTGTAGCAAGTGTTTAATTGTGTTTCTCGTTTGTGCAATTGAAATTTTTTCGTGAAATCATCATTTTAATCCTGTCAACATTTATTTCAATATATATAGAAAACACACATCGCATACACATACTGCACATCACGCACCGATACATATATATTATATAGATAACCGCATTGAGACACATTGATTAATATCAACCGTGTTTAGGGTTAATTTTTCTGAATTAAAACTATACCACAACATAAATAATAATAGTATAGTCCATATGTGCACAAATAAATTGTTTCAATTATAATTAGTTGTGTCGATTCGTGGTTGAGCCGAAAAATGAGCCGAATTGTGTGCAGTCCATTGGGTGGTAATGTTGGTGAGAAATTGGATAGTTTTTTCCAAAGAAAGAATTGCTTCATTGAAGTGAATCCCGGCCATGTTATCATGCCAAAAAAATACCAGGATATTTCCGAAGAGATAATCAACACTGACGTTCGAACAGACGACATTTGGATGATTTCTTATCCTCGAACAGGTAAAACAATGCTCAACTGACCCATATTAATCACGTCATTGCAAGTTGTGGATTGTGCTCAAGAAAGTTAACAGAGTGATATGAAGAAGAAGCAAAAAAAAATTGTAAATTTTCCATGAATCTGTTGTTATTGTTGTTTTTGTTGCTGTTGTGTTTGATTTTGTGCTTGAAACACTTTGCAGCGGTGAACGACTTTCTCCGCCATATGCTAAGTCTTGTTTCGTTGTATTCAGCAGAGACAAATCATTATTAAACAACAAATAACACATTCGATACGGAATACACTAACTAATATTATGCTTTATTTTTTGCGCATAAACAAAATAAAAAAATGAACCCTGGCCACAGGTTCAACATGGGCTCAAGAAATGGTTTGGCTTCTAGGTAATAATTTGGATTACGAAGGAGCCAAAAGTATACAAACTTTACGATCGCCACTGCTTGAAATGACTGCGATCATGTATGAAGACTATACGGAATGGGTGAAGTAAGTCTAAAATTTTATCTGTTTTACGCTTGTTATTGTCATATTGAATTTGTGGAAATATAAAATAATTCCATTCTGTGTGATTATCGATGGCAGTAATGATATGATATTTCTTTTTTTAATATACATTTTTCTTTCGCTCCCGGGCAGAAATTCAATCGGAAATTCTGTGCAGCAGGTTAGCAATATGGCAAGTCCACGTTTCATCAAATCACATTTACCATTACAGCTCCTGCCAACAAAATTGACCACTGTGAAACCGAAGGTTTGAGCGCTCATTCAATACCTAATGTTTAATTGGTTATAATACCAATTCAATAAACATTTTCCATTTTATTATTTATTTCAACTTTTTTTTTTTTTTTTCTTTTGTTTGTTTGTTTTTTTTTCTCTCTCTTCATTTTTTTCTTGATATGATTGAATTAATTGTGTGTAGATCATCTATGTCGCGCGCAATCCAAAAGATTTATGTGTATCGTTTTATCATTATTGTTCGTTGATGCACGGTTTAGTTGGAACATTCGAGGAATTTTGTGAGATATTTTTGAGTGATAATGCACCAATTGGTCCGGTTTGGCCGCATTGTTTGACTTTTTGGAATATGCGCGACGAGCCAAATGTATTATTTTTGAAATATGAAGACATGAAAAAGGATCTACCATCGACGATTTATAAGTGTGCCAAGTTTTTGGGTGTGGAAAATCGAATAACAGACATTGATGTGTCTCAAATGTGTGATCATTTGAAATTTGATCGTATGCAAAAGAATCCAGCCGTTAATATTACATCATATTTACCGGTAAATGGTGATAAGGATAAAAATGTTCAATTTATACGAAAGGGACAAATTGGCGATTGGAAAAATTACATGTCAGACGCATTATCGGTTCGATTCGATGAATGGATTCGACTAAACACCGATGGCACGGGTTTGGAATTTGAATATGAATGAACAATATTCTTGCATCTATAAAATTCTATCGTGATTTAGTGCACTGCAACAGCAACAACGAATAACTTTGAGCCGAACAGAAAATTAAACAACAACAACAAAAATGTATTAATAGTAAGCTTTTTCTTGCCTAAATAAATAGACACGCTGTGGACACAACAAAATGCATTTCGTTTCATTTCATTTTTTTTCTCGCAAGACATTGAATTTAGCTGGCACTTTCTTTTTTACCTTGAAATATTTGCTCTTGAAGCAAATGCAATGACAAATGAAGGAAAAAAAAACAAACCATTTTCATATCGATTTTGTCTACAAGTCTCTCATATATATGCCGTATATACTTATATACATGGTTCTAATTAGGAAAAACTTGCAAAACAGTGGCAACGGGTAACACTGCGACCGACACACAAACTGTCATGTGCTGCAAATATACAATACAATACATATGCACTGCACATACACAACCGTTCACATATACATGCTAATGATGTACGTATGACAGATTGCATTAAGTATATTTTTCAATTGTTTGACATGTCAATTTCAATGAAAACATTGCAGATGTTAATGGAATAGCATAGAAATCAGTTTTATAGAAGTCCCCCGACAAGCATCAAGATTTTTACATTTAATTGTTAATTGTTTGTTTGTTTTCTATGTTTGTTGAACATTTTTTGAGCTTGATGAGAGTTTTAGTCTATGCATAGATTACGGAAAACAGTGAATTTGAAGTGATGAAGAGTAATGTGGCCACACGAAGATCGCACACAATCAATTTGCTGACCAATTTGGATATCATTTCGAATGTGTCGAATGATTTAATGCTAGAGTGTAAACTATGCAGTCGTGCCACGCGACTCACAAAAACCCTTCGTGATAAAATAACCAAGTAACTATTGCGTCGAAACTGTGTGACAAATAGATTTTATTTTTGTACAAAAAAAAATTTCACATCAATTTTGATTTGGTTTTGTTATTGTTGTTGTTGCTGCAATTTTTTTTCTCTTATCGTAGTTTGCCAAAGGATGCACGCAAAGAGATTGTGTCTAGGACACGCGATAGTTGTGCTCCGTTATTTGTCGTTTGCAAACGTGGTAATTTGGGAATCGCTGAATTTTTAATTACAATTTGCGGTGCAGACATCGAACAACGTGGACTATTTGAAAATCCCGAAGATTCAACTTGCCATTTTGTAACGCCATTATGGTGTGCATCGGTATCAGGCGAATTGCCAGTGGTGAAATTTTTGGTACGCGTCGGAGCAAACATAAATGCAGTGTCTGACTCAGGTGCGTCTAAAGAAAATACCAAAAAATAAACATTTTTTTTAACATTTAACAATAAATATTGTGTGTTTCAGGCTCTTCATCTATCCGTAGCGCCTGTTTTATGACAAATATGGTAAAAAAAATTGATGCCACTTCTTTCAAACCGTCAAAATTTTAAAAATATTTGAATCTCTATTTTGTCAGGAAATCGTGGAATACCTTGTTGAAATAGGAAGAGCTGACATAAAGAAACCAAATTTCAATGGCGGCACCTGCTTAATCAACAGTGTTCAATCCGTTCAATTGTGTTCGTATTTGATCAGCAAAGGAGCTGATGTTAATGCCAAAGACATTCAAAATAAAACTGCACTTCATTATGCAATTCAAGAACATAGGTATATACAAATACACATACACGAAATACGACGAAAATTTATACATAGATTTTTTTTCTCTTCCGAAAATGGTTTTCACCAAAAAAAATTTTAGACTAGAAACAACAAAGCTACTGCTGGACTCAGGAGCTGATCCATTTGCAAAAAGTAAAAATGGCGATGATGCCCTACAAATTGCCTGCCTAAAGGGAGCTCATGATATATTTCGTCATTTAATCGAACGGATTCCATACACAAAAGAGCGTTTAGCAAGTGCAAATGAACTGATTGGTGCGTCTAAAGAAAATACAAAAAAATAAACCATTTTTAACAATAAGTATTGTGTGTGTTTAGGTTCGACATATCTAGATGAGCATAATGAGACCACTTTGGCCGTTTTACATTGGAAAGAGGCACATGAGATTCGCTCAAAAGAATCTGTTTACCTAGGTACTTGATTCATACTATACACTGACCTTGAGTTTAAAACCATAAAAAATTCTCTCTGTTTATTTTTTTCGCCTTTGTTCGTGCTTTTAGCCAAACAACCTTCGGTGCCGTTTCGATTAGCATATTGCAATGTCACTGAATTTGCCACGCTCAGCGAGCTAGAGAATATTTCGACTGATGTTGATGCGATGAGAATACAAAGTTTGTTGATTTGTGAACGTGTACTTGGCATTAATCATACGGACACATTGTTTCGTTTAATGTTTCGGTAAATCTTTTTTTTTGTGTCTCTTAAATTTATTTAATTTTTACCTAAGAACATTTCATTTCAATTTCAACATAAATTTTATCATTATTTTCGGTTAAAGTGGGGCTTCCTATGCGGATTCATTGAGATTTCAACGTTGCATCGATTTGTGGCGATTAGCCCTTGAAATACGCATAAATACACATTCAATATTGCATTCGGATACATGTTTTACAACACAAGCGCTGGTTCGCCTAATGCTCGATTTGGAATATAAATCGGACGATAGTGAATCAATCATTGGTTCGGATGTACCGAAATTTGATGATGTTTTTGGTGTATTTACATTGTTACACAAAAATTTAATCGATGCCAGAAAACTATTGCAAATTCGTCCGGTCTATCGAAAGCAGCAAGAAAACTTTGATCGAGTTTTAAAATGTGTGACCCATTTGATCTATTTGCTGGAAGTAACGTCAAAAACGGCTGAGGAAAAGCAAATTGTAAGACATTTTTTTGTTTTTCTTTTTCATTTTTTTACAATTTCTTAAATGTATCCATTTTTATGCAGGTATGTGAAACCGTTCGATCTCTGGTAAGGAATAACATACGAAGCGCTTGTACGAATGATACACTACTGCATTTGTGCGTTTCACGTCTGAACATTATCAAGAGTGGTTATTTCAATGATGGAACTGGAATGCGGGTAATATTTTCTTTAATCCAATAATCCAATATGTTGATGGCATTGTTTTAAATATCTACCACTTGTGTTTCTCTTGCGATAGGGCATTTTTCCAAATTTAAAAGTTGTTAAACTTTTGCTGGACTGTGATGCTGATGTAAATGCCAAAAATGAATCGAGATCAACAGCTTTGGTTCGTATAAAAGATTATTTCAAACTACCAGTAAATATACTAAGTACCATATATATTGTTCATATTCAGCACGTTGCATCAAATCCATATAATTATGTTGGAGAGGTATGTATATCATTTAACCAGTAATGTGCTTGCTCTGATTTTCAGAGGATAATTTCCACTGTAATTTATTCTCGGGAAAAGATTTTTGATTCTACTCGGATTTTAATTGATGTGACCGAGTAGTACAAACCCGATCAAATCGAAAGAATTTTACGCTCCCTTCCGCACATTTCTACAATTTAAAATTTACAATAAAATGGAAATAACAAAAAAAAAATCTTTCTTTTCGTTTCCAAATTAAAAAAAAAACACAGGTCGTTCGAGTGCTATTGGATTATGGTGCACATTTGGATCAACCAAATCGGGCTGGTGAACAACCACACTATCTCATCGCATTCAATTCATCAAATACAATACCAATCATAAATTACACATCACTTAAATGTATAGCGGCATCAACAATCATCAAACATGGCATTCATTACAAAGATGAAATACCAAGAACATTAGAAGAATTTGTTCAATTGCACCAACCATAAACGGGGCCGCGGCAGTGACATCAACAACAAGTATGATCTTATTCATCAACAAAAATAACAATATAACCTAAATTAAGTTTTACTGTTGAAATTTCGAAGACTGTACACATACATTACATAGTAATGTCACAAGCGATTTGTCTGCATTCACCTGTGCATGTCAATGGTATGGAAAATGCCACGCAAACATACAATGGGACATGAAGTACGATCGCTCAATCAAGATCTTGACATAAAAAAATATTTCATTGGTTCTAATTTGCAGATGATAGGCATTGAATTAACCAAGTGGTCAAATATACTTTAAAAGTAATGCTCTAAGAAATAATAATAATAATAATAATCTAAACAAGAAGCCTAATAACCTCACCAATTTGTGTGAAATTTAGTTTTTTTGGTGCCATTAATCGCTTATAAACACATTATCTATATATAATATATCTAATTATTTGAGCTGAGATAATGGAATTTATAGAAATGTTAAGATATATCCCAACATATTCGCATTTCAATCACATCATCGTCGCTCGACAATCGATGATTGAAATGTTTATTCAAATAAATCATAATAAATCAAGGAATCGTTCAGAACTACTACCGCAGAACATGAATGAGCACTGGGAGAACATTTTTTTTATTTGGCGGTTTTTTATATTTTTCAATTTACCTCAACGATTTATTATTATAAAGAAATATAGATTTTTCTTCACACGGTTTGTGTTTTTTTAGTTGTGATTCGTCAATATTTAAAAAATATATATATTTTAAAAGTTATAATTATAATTTTCCTCGTGATTTCGGTGGAAATAAAATTGGGACTACAGATGCGCACTGAAGTGAAAATCAAAAAAGTGAGTTCGAAGTATGTTTCTGTTCTTCGAGTTTTATTCTTGCCAAAATCATATATCGATTGATATTGGTTGGTATAAATTCATTTAATTTTGAGTTGGCGCAAAGTCATAATGACTATAAATAAATTATCAACGTAGAAATTTGCGTATATACACTAATAAAAATGTTAGAACATTGATAATGTTGACAAAACTATGTATCTATTGATGAAAAAAATTATGTAAATACTTTGGAAATAAATTGTTATTTTTGAGCTGGACATAGGCTTTTCGAAAAGAAAAAAAAAAAAAAAATGAAATTGTTTTTTTTTTTAATTAAATTATTTTGCGTTTATTTTATAAAATTACTAAAATTTTCAGAGAGCAAATTACCCTATTTTTTTTAGAAAAATGTTGATTTTACCTTGGATCGCGACCGTCAGAAGCTGTGCTCGAGCGGGAAAGAAATTGAATAGAAAAAAAGCATTTGAGTGTAATTTTTCTATAAATGAAGACATTTTATTGAATTCTTAAAAACAGTTAGTTTGTAATGTTAATTTAGTTTTAATAATGTTTTTTGAGTCGAAAGGAATGATTAGATTATAGATTCAAAGATATTTTTTTTATGAAAGTAAACCTTAGAAGTGATAATTTATAAAGAAATAAAGAAAGTAATACAAGCAAATGTCAACAACACATCAATTGCGTTAACGATTCCATTCGTATGACTCAGTTCGTCTAACCTCGATCAAGCTCAAATCAGTGTCACCATTGTGAGTTGCCCATTTTGTTGCCAGGAAGATATAATCATTCACATAAATGATCACTTTTCGTGCTCCGGCCAATTGTTTACGTTCGTTGTTCAGTTGTTGTAAATTAAGAACTATTGGTTTAGGTCTATTTTCAACTTTGACTCTATTATTTCTGCCAAACTTTGGTGCAGGCGCATTTTGTTGGAGATTTGGATTTCGTATCAAATGTAGTTTCATTTTATTCAATTTTCGCGATTGACGAATAAACGGTAGAATATCCTTAGTTGTTACATATTCAAGGTAAAGCCGTTCGATATTCTCAAAAATATTTGGAAATATTTCAAATTTCGTAGAAAATTTGCTTTCGATATGAAGAAGAAAAGGGGACACTGAACGTGAACCAACAGTGACCAGTTCAGTGATACTTGGTAATGGACACCATTTGATGGATTTCAAATTGCGCAAATAGGAGATAGTTAATTTTTCAACAAATTGCCATGTTGCAATTTTATCAATCAGACCTTGATTGACACCTTTAACGCTCAAATGCAATCGCTTGAAAAAACCTCGTGCGTAAAGTTTCTCGATCGCGTCCCAGTGTAAATTCAAGTGGCTCTTGTCAATGGCCACCTTCAATTTCAATGTATCAATTGTTGCACAAGAGTTTAACAGTTCAGTACGATTTTCACATATGAATCGGTAATCGGTTGAAAGTGTGCGAATGTTTGGGTGTCGGTCAAAAAATCCATTGAACCTATTCAATTCTGGATAATCATTCAGATCGTTCATTAAATATAGATACTCGAGACCTGGATAATTTTGAAGCAGCCACAAATATTTATTCTTAGGTACGAACTCCGCATCAGAGTCGTATTTCTCACTGTCATATCCATCGTTGTCCGGTACATAATTAAGACCGTATTCAGCTCCCAAAACCGAATTTTTGATGAGAAGTCGCTTTAAGTTTGTACAATACATCAATAGGTTATGAAAATCATCTTCCATGATGCAATCAATCACTTCCAATGTGACGACTTTTGACAGTAGATTCTTCAAACAGTTTACTTCGTCTTTCCCTATTTGTATGTTGTCCAAACAAATGTAATTGATTGATTCAAATTCATGTGAACATGTTTGAATGTCACCAACTGTTCTTTTTATGGACAATTGTGTCTTAAATCGATTGAATCCCTTCATTAAAGAAGCAGAAAATGCAGTTGTCGCATAATTTTGTCTGAAATATGCGCCGGCGACTTGTTGCATTTTTTTGCACGTTTGACCAAATCGATACAAATCGATGAGTTGCAAATATTCAAAAATTTCACCGAAACAATCGCCGTTCAACTTGAAAATTTTTGGCTTTTGGTCACCGGTTGAGGATGACGATGATGGTTGATTTGATGGGCCAGCAATTGCCTCCGGTTCCGATGCGGCTTCGATACACATTTTGTGAGCGTCCATCATAGTAGCCTATGGTTTATGGAATTCAATTGAAATAAAAGGAACATTCATTTTACTTTAAAATATTCGGCGATTTTGTGAATTTTAATTAAAATATGCCATTAAAGATGTTTTTTATGTTTTTTTATCGTATGAAATTGAGAAAAATACAAACCATAATAAAAACCATACACAATACAGTCAATAGTTTCGTAATTGTCGGATTATAAACAAAGTGCGTATAACATTTTTGACATTTCAGCCTGAAGTTAGTGCGATACTTTAGATCGATTTCTGCTGATGTAAAAATCAAAGATTATAAAAATTGAGATGTTATGCGATTTTATGTCTTACAAATTACATAAAAATTAAATTAATCTGAAGAAAACATTTAATGAAAAAAAAATCAAATTTGCAAAGTGACATCCTCTGAATAAATATTTCGTCAACTTTAACCATATATTGGATACCGATTTTGCGAATGAAATAATGCGTTTGAAGTGGTGCCGCTTAAGAAAGTACTTAAGAAAAAAAACTCTATAAATTTGTCCAACTACTTCGTTTTGTTTTTATTTAATCTTTTTCATAAATTCATTAACTTATATTTGTGACTAAACTAATGACAACCAAACAAATTACAAAAAAAGATTGTGTCTTGTGGCTCGTTGCAGTAGCAGCGCTTTTCTTGTTATACGTATCAACAATGTGTATTTTCCATCCCATGTTGGCATGTGTAAAACTGTTGTAATATACAACATCTGGCCACGTTGAATTTGGTGTTATTTCGAGAATAGCTGGATCGCCTGGTTCGCATGTCCAACTTAGCGATCGATTGTATTTTTTAAATGTTGCAAATCGATCGTCTAACCGTCTGTCTAATGTATCAGGATGTCGACCGAAACATAATGGTCCAGCAGCGGTTGGTTTCGGTCGTCCTCGTCTCGTAAATTCAACGCCGGCCAATACACGGATTTCATTCTGTTTGGCTTCGGTCAATCGATTAAAACCGCCCGATTTTTCATCAGTTATGACTAATGGATGATAGTGCTCTGGTGAATGTGGATTATTACCGCCTCTAACCTGAAATTGTTTTTTTTTATGAATTTACAATAACTCAGAACTTTTTTTTGTCCGTGCATGGATGAAAAATGTTTACTTTGAACGAATAGGTTAATCCACGTCGTAACCAAAGTTCAGGAATTAGTAAGCCATTGATATACCAAGCCAATCCATTTGAAACATGACCAGTTATTCCAGCATATCCACGTTTACCACCAGCTGGACCCAATGTCGCCGTAAATGATCTGATTGAACTGCAAACGAAATGAATAGAAAATTATGTCAACTGATGAATTAAGACCTTTTATTTTTTTACAATAAAATTACCGATCGAAAATTTGTGTTCGTTCCCAAACTTCTTCGATTGTTGTTTCGCTTCTTGTAAAACTGAAACAATCATTATATGGTTCGCCAGTAGTGTTAAAATTAATAATAACATCTTTCTTTGGATAAATGTCATGGAAAGCGGGCTCTTTATTTGAATCCAGTTTTCCCATCGCCCAAACGGTGTACATGGGAGCGTCAAGACGAAATTCTTTATCGCCATTATCATTGGAAATCAATGTTCGTCTAAAGGTTATCGTATTTACACCATTTTCTCGTGCATGTGTGTGAATCTGAAAACTATCGATGCCTCCAACGACATCATCCCGGCAAACACCCTTATTTTGACCCAAAACTTGAACACACTAAAAAAAATTCAATTTTTTAAAACTTCATTTCGGAATGCAACCGAAAAAATTCAATTTAAACTTACCGGTGCCAATGATGTAATGTTGTAATCGACTGCATATCCACGAGCGCCATCAATATATGCAACAACAACATCAGAGCCCGACATTTGGCTTGATGTTTCCGAACCAGATAGTCCGAATGACATATATTCATCTTCCATCACCTGACCGGCCAATTCAATTGTGATTTGTGGCCCAAATACTTCCCATCCCACACGAAAATCTTTGTGCAATTGACGACAATTTGGCATTGATGTTGTATGCGGTTGAATTTTGATGAGCGATGGTGGAACATTCAAATCATCGGTTATAATCACCGATCCAAAATTCTCATTTGTCTCCAAATCATAAATACTAATCCAATTTATTTGAAAAATGGTCAGGTCGCCGGGCAATTCAAGTGTTATCGTTTCACCAGTATACTTTCGCAGCGGATCCAAACTAAAGAATTTTTTAATCGATTATTTATGGTTTTCTTTTATTTAAATTCTGTATGCTTTCACTTACTATCCAAGTTCGTCCGGAATTTTTGTTCCTTTTGATGATGGTTGAGCTCCAACTCCGCCCAGAAAATATGTTTTACGACCGGTGCCATCGTAGTATAGTTCCGGTATTCGAATGGTTTTTGAATCGATTACCTCAATTGGGCTACTTGTTACGCCATGACTACGTTTCGAAAAACTACTGCCACGTTGCGATCGTGGCGGTTCAAATGATTCCGGAATGTAAACATCACCGAAATCATTTTGTGTGCTCAAGTCATAAATGGCCAACCATTTGATTTCGGTAATTTTTTTATTATCCGGAAGTTTTAAGGTGAAGTCTTTGTTGAAGTATCTATCTAAAACATTGGTTCTGAGAGCAGACAGAAAGAGTGTAAAAAATCAGAAAAATTGATGATGATAAAAGAAGAAAAAAAAAACGAATGACTTTCTTACTTTCCATATTCATCAGGCACAATAAATCCTTGGGGACCGGGCCGATTTGAGGCACCCGCCCAAAAAAACGTATCGGCCCCGTTACCATCATAGTTGAAGCCCGATAACAAAAACGTGTATTCGTCGACGGCATACACTTTACCCGAAACTTGATGATGGAATGAATTCAGCGATCCAATGAATTTTCCTTGATATGGACCATTCTCTTCTTCGTCTTCAATGCATTCTGAAATGTTAAAAACGAAAGCATGTTACAGCTAAGACTCAAAACGATTTAATTAAAAGCACACATGAATTCGATCATTTGATTAATTGAGTCGATATGCACAATTTCATTTGCAATTGTTTACAGTTCTATTCCGCAAGCTAATCTTCAAATTAAACAAACGAATTTCAGTTCAGCGATAAACAAGTGAAACATTTAATAACTCAGTAGCGTTTGCGATTTCTGATCATTTAATTTGTTTAGTCAAAATTTAAGATCTTGAATCAAAATCGACATTTCTGTTGTGTTTTTATCTCAAATAAAAAAGATATGGATCGACCAAGAAGAAAATTAAAAAAATGTTGCTACGTGCAACCGCCAGTACGGGAAAGTATGAAACAAGGCATACTTACTTAAAAAATACTATTCCATTACTCTACAATTCCTGGTCCATTCCTTCGATTCATTTTCCATTCTGTTCCATTACATATTGATTAATTTTTTTAACTATTTTTTCCATTCTTTTCTTCTGATCAACTCTAGGTATAAAACCAAGCGTTAAATATCAACGATCAACAATTCCGTTCAACGACAAAACCACATCCCGTTCAGATTATTTGCCAATTGATGATGAAACCATGCGGCTTTTGCAAGCTGATCAGGAACTTGCCAAAAAATCCAAAGCGGATGAAATGAAGACAAAATATCCATATCGATCAACGATACCGTTTAACGACAAAACCACATCCCGTTTATCCTATCAGCCAATTGATGACGAAACAATGCGTCTTTTGAAAGCCGATCAAGAGCTCGCCAAAAAATCGAAAGCTCATTTGATGAAAGCAAAATATCCACATTTGAATGCGAACATAAAAATGGACACCGATACAATTCACAATTTATCATATCAACCGGTTGCAACAAAACCAAAAGAAACGCCACCATGGGCGAAAAATGCCAAATACAGACGGTCACAAATACCAATGGATTTGAATACAATTTATGAATATAGCTACAGATTACCAGGCAAATTCGTTGAGTGTGGTGATGATGCAGACAAAAACATAATTGTAACATACGCCGAAAATTGTGAGGACATCGAAGGATTAATCAGACTACCTGATGGACCGTATAAATACTAGGGACATTTCATCCGGGATCTTTTGATATGTCATTAAACTGTCTCCATGAAATGATCATACTATTGTTTAACACTGATGTTTAATGAAAATTCACATTGTGAGAAATGTTAGTCAGCCGAATATTTTGAATCATTTTTTATAGTTAAAAAATAACGCGTTTTTCATTAATTATAAAGCGAATCAGTTCGAACCGACTGATTGAGAATGTTTCATTTTCGAAGTGAAAATCTTCTCACGAAAAACCAATTTACGACAAAAATGTCAATCAAAATTGTAAATCGCGCAGATAAAGATAAAAAGTGAGAAATAAATAACACTTATACATGAAAAATAAAGGGGAAAAAAAGTTGCAGCAATTAAAAGGAAATGAATGATGTTTTATTGTTGTTGTATGTACTCCATACAAAATATCGGTTGTTCATACACATACACATGAGACGATATTAGTAAACTAGTTTGTGGCCGAGTCGAGTAAAAGTGAAATAAACGCTGAGCGCATTCGCATATGAATAGACAGACATAAGTAGTTAACACATTTCATTGAAAGTCAATAAAATACAATGTACTTGATTCACTCTGTCTATCGCCTACTATATGCTTCCATTTGAGATAGAACGAAGAAACAACATTATTGTTACTTTCATGAAAGAAAACCATTCTAAAAACAACAACAACAACACAAATGAAATTGCGTATGCTCCATTTTGAAAAGAAATTCTCATCAACACTTTGATTCACTTACGAACTCAAACCAAAAAAAGAAATGTGTTACTCACCAACGATTCGGATATTCCAAATAAGACCACAAATTATGTAAACTACACAAATGTTAATCATTGACTTGATCACTGCTACATTCAATATGTGATTTACCATTTCTTTGACAAGTAAAATCATCACCATGGCATTTGACGAAAAAAACACACACACACTGAAGTCTTCTTTAATGTTTTTTTTTTTTTGGTTTTTTCTTTCACTTCAAAAGAGAACTAACTAGTTTATTATTATTTTAATCCAAATGTTGTGTTTCGATTGAAAACTGCACTATTTGAAATCACATTATTAATCATTTTTCATGGTGCTCTGATGGTAGCTGGTGCTGCTTCAAATGTCCAATCGAGATAGACATTTAACGAGATGCAGACACAAATACACACAATCCAAAATTCAATGATCAAAAAGAGATTACAAATGTTTTTTTTTTCTATGACTAAACAACAAACGAATAATTATGCACGATAGATCGAAAAATACGACGAAGAAGAAGAAATTTGACGAAGAGAAACAGAAAATGTTGTTGCAAGTTTCGGCAAATCCACAACTACATCGAGTCCATTGTATGAATCACTATTAAACATGTATATTTTTTCAACGGATACACAATTTTCACGTCATATTATTATAATGTTACTGAATTCATTGTCTGATGTGTACATATATTTTGTTGGTCATAAATAGTACTATTTTTTTTCTAAAAAAAAAGAAAGATACTCCGACGTATTGGCAAAAGTTTCGTTTATTATAATTTTTCTTTTGTTTCGCTGTTTGAATATATTCTGTTTTTGTGGCTACACGATGATATTTATATGTATGTAGTTGTTGGTATGTTTTTTTTCTCTTCAACGCCAGTATCAAGATAATGAGTGGATTCAACGATGTGTTGTTTTAGATGTTGTTGTTGTTGGCTGTTGTTATTTCAAATGATTCCATTGAAGAGAAGTGAGAAGTGAAAAAAAAAACTACACCAACGAAGAGGAAAAGGCAAATGGTAAAAGACTTGCTGTATTTACACGCAAGCAATGTCTACTAAGAAACTGGAATTTAAAGCGGTCTGTATTCGCCACTGCCTCTACAAGCGTCGCTCTTTATGTAGGCTAATATGCCCGATGTATGCTTGAAATCTACAATGGCATAAACTTTTGTGTACATGTTGTATTCTCACACGCATATGCTTAACACGTATACAAGCTCTTTTTCTTTTGCATACACGTACGCACACCATTTCAGGCCAGCCGCGCTTAAAGTTTGATCGTATGGTATGTGTGTGTGTATAATGTAAACCACTCAATCGATGGAACTAAAAGCCACACTCTTTTTCTTGTTGTTGATAAGCGCACTTGATCAAAGCAAAAGATGTATGTGTGTACACATAATTTGTTGGACACTTAATTTACACGACTCATGAAATGCATTTTAAGTGGATGTCGATCATGTTGAAAATAAAGCAATCCATCGAAGTCTCTGTTTCATACACTTCCATCCCATACCATTCCAAAATGTGAAGAAAGTGAAATTTGATTTTATAAATTATTCAACGCTTATGAATGATATTTCGATGAATACTTTTCGTTTTTATCTTTCTTTAGCCGATGTTGACAACTATGTAAAATGCACCGAAAAATCTTTATTTGTTTTTAAATTTTTATTCAAAACTTTATTTCGTACATTTGAAAAAAAAAAAAAACTAAATTCAAAAATTCTATTGAATGAATAACTTCAGGCGATTTTTCAAACAGCTGAGGCTTTTCACTTCCTTCGTATGACTTTGATCTATATTAGTGCTATTTTCTATTGCAATAAAAATAGCTGCAATTAAAACTATCATTTGAAATGATTGTGTCATCGCATCCACTTGCCAATTAACATGACGCACTCATTTTGTGAATGAAAATGATACAAGCTTGTAATTCAATTGTAGTTTATTGCAGCTGTTTCAGATGCTTAAGCCATTAAAAAATTGCTAAATTGTGTGTATCATTTAGAAGTGACAATGACATTGTTGTACGCGATTATAATTGGATATTTTACGATCAAAAGTGTCTGAATATAAAACAATTGTATGTATATAAGAAGCTTAATAAAATGCAATTAATCTGAAGTTGAGTTTTCATGTTGCTGATTTGTATCAGATGTGACTGTTTCAACACTTTCAACGTTCTCAGTTGTATTTTTTTCCGGAATTTCAATGGAATTTCCAGCATTTATTGCCACATTTTCAACCGGTACATTTTCTACGGGTACATCATCTGCTGGTTTGTTTGCATCACCATTTTGCTTGTCGATGAATGCCTGGCCGAAAATTCGAACACGTGAAATTCCACCATCGGGTGCCATTGTAATTCGAACACAATTAAATGGGCCCACATTTTTTAATTCTTTTTTGATGCAATGCAATTTATGCGGTTGAATCTTTACTTTATCCAGAATAACCGTCCAATCACTGTCAGTAAATGTGGTAGAAAAATCACCACCACGTGTAGTACCTTCGATAGTCACATGTTCCGGTGCATTCCCTTTGAAATGATTCGTATCAATATCAATTGAAACAATTGTTGACATTGTTCCCAAACGGAAAATTGCCCATTCACAGCCAGGAACGTTGAGCACATCCTTTTCGGTCATTTCAATTATTGCCGGACGATCCAATCGACGAGCTGCGGTATTTGAAATTATAAATTATCTCTCTCATTCTGATTCTAGGTTTTTTTTCTATTTCATTTTTATTAATTTTACCTGTTTCCCAACCATCGCCCATGTTAAGTGCGCGGCTCGGTTTGTTTAAATTTTTTGGATGACCATAATGAGCATTCGAATAATTTAAACATCGACCGCCATTTTGCATGGCAAACATGTCCAAAATTGTATTGCTCATATCCGGAGAAATGTCCAAATCAATATCGCCATAAACCCGAAAACGTGCAATCCCACCATCCGGATAAAGATTCAAACGTAAATGTGTATATTTATCGGTGTATTCTGTATTTGAAATGTATGTGTAGCGCGTTTCGTCATAGCCCGGCTTCAATTCAGTCATCTCGACTATTGTTTTCCAATCGTTGGATTTTAATCGTGCCATTTTATCAAAATCACGATTCGATGGTGCACGACCAATAACATCGGGTTTTCTACTCGGTGCCACTGAATCAGCTATAATTTAAATCAAAAACTTTACATTTTTTTCGGACACGTACACAGCAAAAATAAATGTGGCAAATTTTTTATAGCACACATACCGGCGGTATGAGACCGCAAATCTACCATTTTTATTTTTTTATATTTATCAAAACTCATCATTTATTTGATAAAATAATTTTAAATGGATACAAACCATTTGCTGTGAGCAAAGCGGCTTGAATTGAAATTTTCGGCACATAATTTCCGGTAAAATGTGCGGTATCGATAAGAAAACCTTTAATCGATGTTGGTCCAGTCAAACGAATAATGCACCAGTCATGACCAACCGTACGTTTGCGACGCGTTTCCCAACCATCCATCCATTTTCCATAATCCGTATATTTATCAGCAATGAAAATCGGTTCATTGTCCCGTAACATACCTTCAGCAGCGGCGAAAAAATCATCGCTTGCGAATATTACCTTTCCACCACACTACAATAATTAGATTTTTTTCACCGGTTTTTTATTTATTTTTACAACCAAAATATTTGCGAATTTATAATACTTACGCTTAATGCAGCCACTTCGGTGCATTTTGTAAAATCAGGTAATTGATCGGCAACCATTATACCAAGTTTCGATTGAATTATTCAAGAATTGGAAGATAGGCTAAAATCAATGTGAAACAAATGCAAAGTTATTCTCATTGGCTATATCGAGCCAAAATAAACAGACGAAATAATACACCGAATTTTCGAATGATATATTCAATATATAAAATAAATGTATGTACAATGGAATTTTGTTATCGTGAAAATATTGCCCTTGCAAACAAATATCAATAATGCATGACATTTGATTGCAATGTTTTTGACTTCACATTTTGTTTTTCTTTTTATTTTCGAATGATGTGATCACAATAAAAACAAACCATGCTCAATCAAAATTGTATGAAAAAAAAAATCTCATTTAAATACGTGTAAAATGTTTACCTAGTTTTCGTTTTTTTGGATTTTTTTTTCTTCGTTATAACCCCCAAATCGTAAAGTTGATAGTAAAGTCGCTGATTGTTAAATTTTACTTTGTTTTAAACGTTTTATTACAATGATTTTCGTCCCGATTGAAAAATGTGCACAATTTAAGAAACCGAATAAATGGTGTTTTTCCACTTTTAAATACTCACCACCCCTCAGTCGCAATAAGGGAAAAAAATCAATAAACAAACCAAAAAAAAAAAAGAATGTAGATTCAATAAAATTCAATTTCGGATGATTTTTATTTTGTGTAAGAACGATGTTCACAACCCAACAGTCTCTCGATGAAAGCGATCAGTGAGAAAGTTCAAATGTGAGTATAGCATTGTAATTACTGATAAAAATAAGCCTTATTATCAGTACTGAGTCAACTTTGAAATGTTTTCATGAATGAACCCGAGATATTTGTGGGGACGTTTGCAAAGACAACAAAAACAGTGCGCAATAGCTACAGTTAATAATTTGGATTTTTTTTATTATTAAATTTCTTTTATCGAGCACTTTTGGCCAGTACGGAACAAAAGATTTTTACTGATTACGTTGTTCGCGATGATTGAAATCGGCATAAAATATCTGTACAAGGTCTTTCTTGTCGATAATTTAAGTGATACATTTCATAATGATGTCGCATTGTGATAGATAATGCATCAGACTGATATACTCAAATAAATATGATCTCAATGTTCACAAATATTTTGGACCCCAATAGCTTTCTCACACGATTTTATTATGACGTTCGTCTAAAATTAGACGAGATTATTATTCTGGACAGATTTGGAAGCGTTTGGAAGAAAAACACTCTCGACTTGTTTTCATCTCAATTTTTTTTATTCATATTTTTCTTATCGTTTAGTTATTTACTTATTGTTGCGATTTCGTTTATATTTGAATCATCAAATCTCCCGTATAAACGTTTATATTTTTTTTGGTTCGTGGGCTGATTCAATGTTATAAACCATTTATTTTTCCATTTTTTACAAAACTATTAAATTATTATTCCATATTTCATTATCATTATTACTTCATTTTTTTATTTATCTGTATATAAAATAACGTTTTTTTTAAAATAAATATTCCTTCATATTAATACGTACAAGTTGGTTTGGAATATACAATCAAGTTGATCGTTGATACATTCACTTTGTGTAATTTTTTTCATTTGAAAAGGAAAAGATATACATGTAGCGTGTGTGTGTGTGTGTGCCAAACCATTTTCGAGAAGAAAAGAAAGAACACGAAGTTATTCTTAGATCCGAGGTGGCTCAGCGGATCGATTAATTACAAAAAAACTCAAGAGATATTCATGAAACAGAAAAAAACATTTACATGGCATTTGGATTTGCCAAGAACAAAGGATGATTCATAAAAATATGGACCATTTTACAAAATAACACTTTTTCCATAGACTTATTTGCAATAATAATAAAATATGTGGGTATGAGTCGATCGAATATATGTTTTGTTTTCGATTTGGTTTGGCCAATTATGTAACAAGTGTGACCAAATTGAAAATTAGACTCTTTTTTGTTATGTGATTCAATTTCCGAGTGTGTGTATGTGTGTTTCTTTTTATTATGTCAAACGTTAAGAAATAGAGAAGATGTCTTAATGTTTCGGCGAACCGAAATCATAATATTCAACAACAAATGGTCTATTGTTTCTTATTTTATTATTCGAAAATAAATTATTTTCATATTTTTTCGTTAATTTTTTTTCTTCTTCTTCTTCTTTCATTTGCTTATTCACCCACGCAATGCATTTAGAACTATTACTTATTTTCTGTTTTGAGTTTTTTTAAGCACTTGTTTTCATCTTATTGGGCTAAATCGAAATGGTGGTTTTCTTTGTTTTTAAATTCTGTTCTAAAAGGTCAACGATTTCACTTGAAAGGTTAAATATCGAACGTCAGTATGTTTTGTTTTGCATATTTTGTTGTTGTTGTTCTAATCAATTGAGGTGTATAAAGTCGTTGATGGTATTACGTTTAACTTTTCATGAATTTATTGTTTCGCTCATAGCAAAGAGTTTCATCGAAAATGAGTGCGGTACGAAATGACTGACATCGATCGAGGCATTATGATCATAAATTGTCTAAGGAGACAGGAAAAAAGTGTGTCGAACATATTGCTTTTGTTTGGAACGATTCAAAAGAATTCGGTAGATAGTATGCATTGGAAATGGTTTTGAAAGGATGAAATTCGACAGGAAATAACAGATATAGTACTAGATTTTCAAAAATATATATTTTATTCGAATCATTGATGCGTTTTTTTGTCAAATTTTGAAATCATCCGTTTTATTTTGTCTTAAATAACTAATATTTATTTGTTTTTCTCCGTTTTTTATTATTTGAACTTCATATCATTTCAAATTTTGGTTGCTTTTGTCGTTGAAATGTTCTGACTTAAAAATGACTTGATGCTTCACGCAATTCGTTCGAAATTTTGTTTCGTCTCTTGGGTGTGTGTAACTGAACGCCTGTTGTTCTACAACGTTGTGAACATAATTTAAATTTAATTCAAATTGGTCAGTGCAACGCGATTGCTTTGAGCGATGTGCTATTCCTTCTTTATCTCTCTAAAAAAATCTTCATTCAAGGTTTCCTTTTTTTTGCCTGGAAGACGCCAATAAAGTACTTTTGATAAAATATCCAGAAATGTTGGCCAAATATTGTTTTCGCATATTTAATTTTTCTTCTTCTATCAAATCATTTCGTCAAATAAAATCCATTTCCATTGTGTACATAAGCAAGTAGGTGCTCTCATTTTCGGGCATTCGACCGAACTGAATTTCGTACGGTTAGCTTAGTTAAACTTAACAACTAAAAAAAACATAACATAACCAATACACATAATAGTATATGATGCGCGCCACGAAAGAAAAGATTGCTTATAAAAACTGAAATAAAAAAAATTCATTATCTATAACAATGACGAGTCTTGATGATTCTTGGTCATCTTTCACTATCTCAATTATAGATTTTCATCCATATATTTGCTATTCGTGATTTTGTCGTCAGTTTTATATCATCGTCATTGCATTAATCGTTTTTGGAACAAGCGCATTGATTACTTGGCTTCTTAACAACAATTTATCCAATTGGTATCGACTGATTTTTGCAACTAATAAATAAATGGTAATGTTGTGTGGCTTTTTTAAAAACAAATGAATATTACAAAACAAACAGAAGAAAACGGTCCGGGGGAAAAGAAATGAATTTTCCATCCAGAATTTTCTTCGATCCAAAATAAAGGAAACAAAAGAGCGCTGACATATACATATATATTCAGGAGACGAAGAAAACTATGTGTCATTTTTTAACATCATTCGCTATTTTATCGCATATGTATCACACAATGGTCGTCAATCAGTACTTGTCCAAAAATCTTTTCTCTCATTTCATTTTGTTTTGTTTGTTTTTCTCTTTTGCTCACATTTTTTTATTCAATAAATCTATGCAATTAAGAAATCAATTTTTGTTCTCTGCTGTATTTTTTTTGTGTTTGAAAATTCAGTTCATTTTATCGATGTAAAACTGAGGAAGCGTTTTAGTATACGTATAGAACGTGCAGTTCGCAGAGGATATGCTTTTGTCACATGCTTTTTTTTTCTACTTCGTTAACGTGTCAAGTAAGATACCTTTTTTTCTCTATAAAGAACAAAAATAATTGTGTATGAATCAAGGGGCAAAGTGACATTAGAATAATGCCATAAAATACACAATTGATACCGTTTAATGTTATGAATAAAAATTTATGTCAACTCTACAAAGTGGTCAATAAATTCGAGACATGACATTTACCGGCATTGAATGTGTATTTTTGGTTGTCAATTCTAGTACTGATATTCCCCTCGATATGGATTTTGTCATTGTAGCAAATTGCTGGCGTACAAATGGCAGTAAGATCAATCAAGTTTCGTGTGATCCTTTCGATGCAAATGCAAAGTATCATTTTATGTGTGTGTGTTTGGAACTAAAATCGGGTCATAATGTCATTTCTCACCGTGACAAAGATATAAGAATGAACGGAGGGAGATGCGAAAAAGCTTAATGTGTATGTTTTTTTCTTCAATTTTAAATTAAGTATTTTATTAAGTAACTGTAAAAAATAGAATTTATTTTCTGTTTTTTGTTTGTTTGTTTCTTTCTTCGTAATTTATCAACATTTCATTGTTAATTCCGATGTGTTCATTTCTCACATAATTTGTGTTGTGCTTGCACACATATTATAAAATGATATATGTAAGGCGCAATTGAATCGGCGAAAATCGGATCACGTTTTTCGTTACAACTCGTTTCATTTCACTTTTATTATTTTATTTTTTTTTAATTTTATTTCTCTCTGCTCTCTTTTTTCTGTTGTATGATGATGGAAAGAAAAAAAAATGGCAGCTGTTGCATACATATATTTTTTTTATAAAAGTTTAATCAGTTTTCGATATAACAATGTTGCTGGTGCGAAGTCTCGCAATTTTATTCGTTCAGTTGTCTTTTATTTCTTTCTCGCATATGACGTCAATTGAGTTTGTGTGTCGAATTTCATAAAGAACATTTTCTCATGAATATCTTTTCTCTCCAATCTCTTTTGTCATTCATACGGATTTTATTTATTCATCGATTTTGTGAATTTTCAAATTGGCTCAATCATCGTTTCTTTTTTTCTCAAATAAAAAAAAATTGTCTTATATCAAGTTCAAAATGGTTTTCTTTGTAATATAGTTTTGTTTGTCTTTCGATCGATTAAAAGGAACGCTATTTAAATAAAACGTTTATTTTTTTTATTTTTTTATGTTTTTTTTTCTTTCTTTCATTTGAAACAGAAAAAAAAGTTAAAAAGTTTTGAATTGTTTACTTATTATTTAACATATTTGATTGTAGTGTATATATCATTTTTTTGTATTTGTTTTACTTCTGATTTCGATTGTATGCCTTTTTTCCGTATTGTTTTTTTGTTCGAATGAGACAATTTTGTTTTTTTTTCTGTTACTGAATTAAAAAAATAGATATATTCATAAGTTCCGGAAAAAAAATTGTTGAATTAATTGTGTTTGTTGTTCCAAAACCAAATTTACTGGTCTTTCGGCTTCAAATTCAGAAACTCCAAAGAAAAAAAAAAGAATGAAGAACAAAAATAAAATGATTTTTTCTCTCTCTCTCTCTTTTTCTCTCTCACTTTCTATTTCTCTCTCACTAGCAAGTAAAATTAAGGATGAACGTAATTATAGCGTTGAAGAAAAAGTTTGGCTAAACTTTATCTTGAAATATGAATAAGTTGTTGGTCGCTGCAACAGCAATAACGTTCTCTTGTGGATGCCAGGCTGTGTGAAGTATTTTTTTATTGAAATCCAGACAATCAACACTAATTTCATCTTTTTTTCGTTTGCCACCGGTGCACACTTTTCGCGGCTTCAATACAGTTTTCGGCTTGATTATGTCCCGTGATGCTTCCAGAGTGATTTCATTTTGGGTGCGACGATTACGATCAAACACACGGAAAAAGTTATTGTAGCTACCAGTCATAATTTGTGTGTCATCACCGTTCCAACAACATTCAAATTTATCGAATATACAATCGTTTTCGTACAGCGAACACAGCTTCGATCGTAAGTATTCGTGAACCTGATTCGTTGTATTTTTTTTTCGAATGGTAAAACAAATAAACATTATATGAAAATGTGGAAGAATGAAAATGAAAAAACGAAAACAATGAAAGCTGATCATAAAATGATGATTGATGAATGTGCTAACATTGACGCAAAACAACTTACCGGGTATGTTTCGATTGGTTTCGATTCCATGTGCAGATCCCACACTTTGATGCTCAAATAATCCCTTGAAATTAGATAACGACCCGAATTACTTAGTTTTACATCACTAATCGAACTTATAATTTCACTGAAAAAGCTTCTATTGGTTGGATTATCGGGCTCTTCGAATTGTTTTGCGTGCCGATCACATAGTGCCGACGAGCGCATGTCGCACAATCTTATCGTTCCCTTGCTACTGGAATACACAAATAAATTACATTCATTTGGATGAAATTCAGCTGCTGTTATGACTTCGGTGAGCTCCTCCATATTCGTTGGCTTAATGTCAACAATATTGAAGCATTGATCGGTTATTTCTAAATGCCATAAATTAATGCGTAAATCGTCGGCCGACAGATAGGTCTCTTGGTCCGAATTCACCGATATTGAATTTATGTGGTATGTGTGCGCATTTGCAAATATTCGTCGCGGTGATGCTTCCACCAATAGATCCATTGGTTTTGTTGTTGGTATACGAAGTTGATCTTTCGATGTGATCGAAATTGGATCACGTATCGAGCCAATCTCTTCTTTTGTATTATAACCTTCGACACGCTTATCACGTTCGGACACCTTCCACAATTTGATTGTTTTGTCATTTGTTGACAGTAGAAAATGCGCTTGATTTTTTCGCTTTAACCATCGAATCTTGTTGATTTTCTCTTCGATTTCCAATGATTTTAGGTAATCGAATTCGGGCTCATGTGATTGAAATGTTGAATAGACATTGTACTCGCCACGTTTCGGTACGGCTGTTTTGGAGGCAGGATCTCTCTGTATCATGTAATTAAAATCAAACAAAATTAGATATTCATCGAATCTATTATACAAATGAAAGTACACTGAACACTCACCTGAAATATAACAACGCGTCCGCCTTTATCACCTGTAGCTAAGAGCTCACCATCATGATTGAACTCGACACACGATATTATATCGGCGTCTGTAACATCATCATCTAAAGCCCCTTTAATTTGTGAGAAGCACCAAGATGTTTCGCCGTGGCCTACATATTCGTGGACATTATTTGCATTTAATTTATATCCGTATCGATCACACGTTGAATTGCAGCAAACCGTGTCGATTGACATGAATGGAGAATAGAGAAAGACAAACAAATAAATTCAAATGAACAAATTGACTATCGATTTAAATGTATTTCGATTAATCTAAATTATTGCATTTTACGCTACACACATACACAAACACATACATACACATACATACACAAAGTATGTCAATGTCAAGGTTAACAACACCATTTCAATTGTACAATGTATTTATTTTGCAATGCATATAATAAACATGTCCACCGAGAATGGTTTTAGATTATTTCACATTTCCAATTCTTTGGAGAACAGGTATTGTATTTTGTACGATTTGGGGCACGATCAATTCATTAAATCACATACAGGCAGACGAAGAGAGACAATCCCATTTTGTCAATTGTTGCAGCTGGGCTTCACAAATGTGAACAACAGCCGTAATATAGTTTAGCCCCGTCACAAAATGACAATCGTATTGGTGTGCATGTTGTGCTCTTTTTTTTTGTATTTTCATTGTCGTTTCGACTTCAATTTTAATGTTAAGTTTAATGCAATTTGTCGCATATGCGCTGAAACATCAAACAAATCAATTGAACAGCGACAATTTGTATAAATAAATACTATCGACTTGTTAGTGCGTTCCATTGGAATAGATTACAATATTTTTTTCGAAAATACGTAAGTATACGACGAAAGCAGGCAGAAAGAGACAGAGAAAAAAAAAACAACATAAAATGTATTTAAAATACTATTTATTGTGGTTTTACGTAAATAAAACGTACACAATGACTTCTGTACATAATTTTGTTTTATTCCTTCCTTTTTTCTCGTTCACTGAATTGCGCAGAGAGTTCGCGCTATTAAATATCCAACAAATTGCAAATGCAATAGACAGATAACGTAGAAGAATGAAAATAAACACAGTATATGTTTAGAAAAGTAAATCGAAGTGAAGATACATAATAGGCAATAGAAATGAAAGAATAAGTAAAAAAACATTGGTATGAACACCGTGCTAAATGCGTCTATCACATTAAGATGTGATAGGCTGTGCAATTGCTTGTGGAAGCAACACGTAAAATGAGACGATGATATGAGGGGCATATGCGGGAGAGCCGGAGTAAAAGAGATAATAATGGATGCATGCATACTTGTGCACTGATTTTGACTATTTTGCACACAAAACATGCATCAACACTTGTTATTTTCCATGGAAAATGCACTGACTCGTACTTATACGTTCTGTTTATTAAATCAATCATTATTACATTAGAGTGATTTCGTCTCTCCCATACACAAACACAGATAGAGAGAAAGAGAGATGTATATAATTCATCACATGGTGTCCGCGCTCGTATGATATCTTCACTGATTAGAACAAGATGATGAAAAATATGTGCAAACTGAACTGGCACTTTGCATGCCATCAAACCGAAGAGAATCGCTTTTAAAATAATATGAATGCAACGAAAGAATGGCAGAGCAAGTACAGAAGAAAATAATATATATATAATGCTCTGGCGGAATAAATTAACGTTTCACATTGCGATGAAATGCAGTCGAAAATTGATGAGAAGTAACTGCTGCGTTGCTATTCAATCTGTGTGTGTGTTGTTTTTTTCGTTCCAATAGCTAATTAAATTTACACGGGTGGTGCAATGGTTTAGAGGAATCTATTGTGAGCGTTGCGCGAGCGTGCAAACGTAAATAACAAGCATAAACGCTCGTGCAATCGAGACTCATAAGCGAGTGTAAACATGCATAAAATCTCCTTTCTTGCCATTACATACAACTTAATTATTTTGCTCATATTCCCATGTTTTTTCTTCTCTCAATTTAATGTGTTTTCATTTCGTGCACTTATATTTTTTTAAAAGCATCGAATTGAAGCCGTTTTGTAAGCATGTTTGTCCATCAGAACATTTTGATTAAAAAAAAAAAAAAAAAAAACACGAAAATTTTGCGATGTAGATGAAGAAAAGATTGATAAAAGAAAAATGAAGGTAGAAAAAAAAACGAAATTATATATGAATTACAAAACAAGCAATACAATCATAATAACGATTCGGTTACGCGCATTCTATCTCTGTGTATTCTTGCTCAAAATCATGTGATCGCAATTCAAAACGGGGTGATAAATATTACCGCGATACAATTTAATTAGAGAGGCGAGAGAGCTCTGATTTTAACTAGAAATCACACATATCTTGTGCGCTTAATGCAATAAACACACGTAGTTCACGTAATTTTCAATTAGATTTTGGTGTTGAACGGTATCAATAACTTGGTATATAGTATTTGTATATGAAAATCAATTGCAGCCAGCAGCAACAGCAGTAGCAGCAGCAGCACGTACGTATGACAATACACCGAATTGAGGTTAGTTTCTGTTGAATACTGACACTGTTCAGCCTCTGTTGCTTTCATCGTGCACACATATATATATGCATCATGTATTTTGATTGTTGGCGTTTATTATTCATATTATGCGGGTACATAAAACTAATGAACACATCAACAACAACAAAAATCGCAATACACAAACGTGAAAACTACGAAAAACATTACCAATAAGAAAATCAGACATTTAAAAGGAGAGAAAAAAAAGTAACGACGTATATTTCAATGCCGCTATCGTACAAAGTGGCTCAAGTGTGCGATATTTTGTTTGTTTTGTCCGATTAGATAAAAGCTAATGTAAGCATTGTAAATGTTTTTCCGTTTGTTTTTTCTTGGATTGTCGTCACTTGCAGTTTTTTTTTTTGGTTCAGCAATATCGAATTCTTCTAACAGAAGAAAAATTAAATTCTTCCAACTTAACAAGACACAAAAACAACTTCATCTTATGTCGCTTTCATAATTCGTTAATTCATTTTGATATTTCATTCTCTCTGTCTCTGTATGTTCACCTTTTTCCCGTACGATTCAACGTAAACTCAACCACACATACTTGAAGATTTCGCGCTGTTTTATTCTGCTTTTTCTCTTTCTCTTTCTCGAAACGAAATAGATCGTTTCACTTTCGATTTTATTTTTCGTATTGATTCTTTTTTTTTTTGCTACTAGATTTAAATTTACATTTTGGAGATGAACACAAGCACATACGCATCACTGATTATCATTTAAATCGAAATGTCTGTTTATTTTGAATCCATTTCGATGACCTTGCGTGTTTTATTAAAAAAAAAAAACATTATACATTCGTTTTTGTTTTCAAAAAGAAGACATTTGCATGAAATAGAACGCCGATAGATGGGACAACAACGTTTGAAGAAGGAAAAAGAATGTCTAATTATGCGAGAGAAAAAAAAAGAATAGGCAAGTCATCACGCCTTTAAAATTGTTTTCGGGAAAAAAAAGTAAAAAGAAATTAGAAGTTTAGTTTGAGAAGCGCACGCACACATATATACACAAAATAGTGCCATCGAACGGGCGTTTGAACAATATTGTTCGGGACATTGAGAACGACATTTACTGCACATGAATCAGCAAAATTGCACAAACGTATCTCTTTGTGTTTGATTGTTGATGTTGTTGTTTTTGTTAAACTCACTACATTTTTGTTTCGTTCTAAATCGATGAAAAATGTCAGGTAGTTTGTAAATTCAAAAATGCAAGCAATGTGTCAAATTGAGATGAGAGAAGACACTACAAAATCTTATTCTGACATTAATTTCAGATGGGATGAATGAGAATGCTCGAAACGATGATGACAGCACCACGTAAAATAAATTCGCAAACGACAGACCGAATGAAAAAGACGAAGATGGCGATGATGAAAAAAAAAAAACAATTTAAACATAAAAATGAATAGGTAAGAACAAAATTCGGTTTCGTCTTCTTGTTGTTTTGCTTAGGTTGATGTGCCTGATTTTTTTTTCGATGAAGAGGAGTAAAACACATTTCATGTGTGTATTGTATTTAGTTTCGTATTCTTTCAATAACCTTTTCTTTGTGAAAACGGATCACACATTAGATGCACATTGAAACTCACACGCACACATACAGCTTCGGATAATCGGCACAGAGAGAAGGAACGACAGAACGAACGAAAAGAATAAATAAGAAGAAAAAGTGAAAAAAAAAACGAAAACAGCGGCAGACACTTATTGCACTTTTTAGCAGCAGTAGTTTGTTTGAGAATGCTGTGTAGATATACAGATATACACCTATAGGCCATGCATCGCAAAAATGCTCTATGCGAGCGCCAACTGTACATATTCACTTTTGCTCATGCTTTATTTTGATTTTTATTCCATTTTTATATTTATATGTGAAGAGAGCAAAAAAAAAAAACAAAATTTTTTTTTTCTTTCTTTCCTGTCATGTAGTATCATATATTCCGTATTTTTTCCCTTCATTCGATATATTCCGTTCATTGTATATTCTGTGTGCGATGTATCCACCGACATACGTACGCTCTAGTATTTGTAACTCGAACGATGTGAATGGGGTGTGCGTGTGTTGGTAAAAGAGAATGATATTGTGTGCGCTAAATTTCGGGCGAATGTGATTTGTGCAATATTTCGTTTTTTTTCTCTCTGCTTCTTCTTTTTCTAATAAGTTCTCAAACAATTATGTCGCCCGATTTCTGAGCGCGTTTTCTTTTTGTATCGCACATTTGTCATTATGTCGGGCGGACACACACATGCGCGCGCGCATTATTCCTTAAAACAAATATGGCACTAACAATGGAATTAGATTTTATTTTTCGTATCTTCTCTCTCTCTCCCTCTCTTTCTTTCTCCTTCGTGTGCTGTTGTACAAATAAATGTGCTTGCGGGGCTGCTTACAATAATTTTGCTCCCGATCACGGATTGCATGCAGACATTTTCGATTGCAGAGATTGTGGATTTGTGTGTAGACTTCAAATAGTTGTTCCAGCACTGCTACTACTACTACTGTCTAAAAACTCTATTTTTTTGTTGGATTCATTTTCTCTCTTTCGCGCACACACAACCAAACAAACAAACAAAAAAGTGAACGATTACGACAATGCGGCGAAATATTTAATATACAAAATGTGAAATGACGACAATAACAACGTGATAAATATCAAATGCGAAGAGCACAACGCTTTTTCCACTATGTGACTTGACTTTTTCTTCATTTTTTTTAGTTCCTCATTTCGTTTATAGCAGCATTTCATCACTATGCCTTTTCGATTTTTCTCTCTTCTTCTTCTTCTCTCTCTCTCTCTCTCTCTCTCTCTGTATGCATCTGCCCTTTCCTCCTCCCGCTCAGTGTCGTTCCCTTTTGATTCGATTTACATTTTTTTTTTCGTTTAATGCCCGAATGCCTGATGTGCGTCGTTGTGCACACAATAACGTATGTAAAACGCGCGATGCATTTCTACATTTTGCGGCTTTTGTTTGCTGTTGCCTTGACTTGAATTCGATGTGTGTGAGATCTTTCAATGGTCTCCAAAGGATTTGCTTTTGTCCATTTTTGCGTACATGTCTTTGTTTGGTGAATGGATGATTTTTTTTAATTGTTTGAACTTATTTATTTATTTATTTTTATTTTTTGCACATGCACGCACGCACACATACATATCTAAATACACACTTTGATGGGTCGAACTAATAACTTACCGGCCATGTCAAACAAATCGTTCGCAATTGTCGAGCTTCCTCATAAACACACCAATGATACACACTATGGCCGGCGATTATTCGTACAAACTGAATATGCTCTCTACTAGGACTAAAAAAACTCTTCTTTTTTTATTGTGTGTTGTTTTTGTTTGACTTTTTCACGGACGTCAAATTTCAATCGGACTCTCGTAATCCAAACTTTACTTTATCAAAATGATTTCGAATCGGAAATGATTTTTTCGTTTTATTGAACTATTAACGAACGTTTTCAAGTATTATGGAACAAAATTAAATATGACCGAAACTGAAGAAAACCGAGAAGAAAAATTGCAACTCTATAACATTACTGAACTATAATGGCGGAGCTTCATAACACATTTGAGAGTTTTGAGTACACTAAAAAAAAATTTGCAGCAACACACAATAGGTATTGCCCGATGCGTATTTGCGTAAAATGCTACAGTGTCATTTGGCGCTGTCGCTCGACTCTCTTTCAATTCGATTTATTTACAGCCAAATATGAATTATGAGATATTTATTTCATTCTCACGCCGCGCAAACCACATTCATCTCGTCTACAATTTTAATATTTCGATTTTAATTTCAGAAAACTCTGATAATTAACAATAATATTGAAATGCATATGGATTAATTCATCATTTTTTCATTTGAATTTGCGATCTTTTAAGTATTTAACTGATATTTGTTATTCAAATATGACAGTGATGAATTTGTGAAAGAAACGAAAAAAATTCGCAATTGTGACACATATACATGTGCTATCCCATATGATTGAGGTTGAGAGACAAAGACGCATCTAGTGTTTGGACTTTGTTTGCTCTTGCCTATATATTAATCGCATCTAATTTCTGGCATCTTTTTTCAAGATTTTCATCAATTTGATGTTTTATGCTTTTGTGTTTTATAAATGACTTTTTTTTTCGTGAAAATTAAAAAATCTTCCTTACTTGACGATTTTTTGGTGATTCCATTTTTAGTTGAGTTTAAAATCGAACCAAGCCGCTTGAAACTTGATTGGCGAACAATGTTTATTGCATTTTTTGGTGGCAACGGTGGTGGAGACGGCTCATTTAACTCATTTAACGGACTCTGTCTACCCCAACGGCCCATTATCATTTTTACTTCGACCAAATGAAGGCACTTTTGTTTTTGGATTTTTTTTTCTCGTTTCAATTCTGTGAAATAGACAAAAAATAATCAAATCATTTACCGAATGTTTATTATTAAATTCAAATACATGATAACAGTTTTTCTCTGCGATGGAGGTAGAAAATATGCGCTGTTTTTTTTAAACAAGCCAATGAACATTCTATGTGTTATACAAAAATGCGTTAAAGTAACATTGACACAAATGTACTATGAATATAGGATGAAATGAATGCTTTCAAAAATGGTAAGTTCGTTTTTTTTTTGCAATGGAAAATGTAAGTAAAATGCTTCAATGTTAACTCGACAAATTTATCTGAAAAACGAAATGAATGTGTTTCGAATTCATTTTTTTTAAATTTCATTACAAATGTGATGGTTTACAGTTTTTCTTTATATATTATTTATTTGTTTTGTAATAACCCTCGCGCTGGTTTATATCGTGCGTGTGTGCAATCTAAGTTGTGAATTTCTCGATTGAAACTTTTTTTCATATGTATAATTGAGTGCTTTGAGAAAAAGCTTTCATGTTTTTCATCGTATGACCGCGGCTGCCGTCAACGGTTGCGCCTAATGGAAGTCTAGTATGTTCATTGAAATTGTTTACAACAAAAGCAGCAACAATGAGGAAACCAAATAAAGCAAACCCAGAAAACTTAAACGAAATGAAGATAGAGAGAGAAAAAATGAACACACAAATCGCATCGAGTCAATTTAACGCGTAAAGTTGATTTGTTGCACGTATATAAAACACATAAATATAATGCGTTATGCATTCAATGTGATTCGGCGACTTATTGCATTTACAATGTTTGCCGGCATTTCATTGAACGACGAAAAAAAGAAGAAAAAAAGCGTCAATTTTACTGTATGATAAATGTACGGAGAGATGATAAATGTGGAAGATAATAAAGTCAATGCCACAGATTTTTATTGCTGTCATTTGCTCGTAAACGAGAATGAGAAAACAACAAGAATTCTTACTGCAACCGCTTAACCTGTGCGCTAAATTAAAGCAAATCGAGATAAACATTGAGTGCTGGGTGGAAATTAAAGGATTTTATCAATGTTGCACATTTTATTACAATGCACTCTTAAAGGTAATTCCTTTCAATCGATTTTTTTTTTAATTCGATGATTTAATTGCAATTTACAATATTGTGCTTTTAGACTTTGAGTCTGGGTTAAAAAGATACTCTAATTATGGGTTATTTCCATAACCGAAATCAATCAAACACTCTCATTCAATATTGGACATCGATTCGAATTGTTGTTCAGGCATACCGACGACCGAACGCTAACCGAAAAAGTCAACAACACAAATTCTATACTATCTATAAATTACATCAAATATACAACGTTAACATTAAATAAATAATATCATTTCCTATTGAATTTTAAAGCGGTTGCCAAAAATCATCGACTGAGTCGAAAATATGAATTGAACTATTTTATAATAGAGATCTATTTCCCAACTCATTTACGTTTAATTCAATCAAACAATGTCAAGAGTATTCGCTATAGCATCACATTAATTACTATTTTTAATTAAAACGAGAGAAAAAAAAAGTGTCACTGCGTATCTTTTGTTTTTCAATTCAAATGTTTTTTTTCCCACGTTTGTTGGTGATTTTCTGTCCGATTGAAGTGATCAAACAAAAATATCACAAATCACTTGTATTACGGTTAATTTATATATTTCAATGGCTTATCAAGTTTATTTATGTTCAATTCAACCAAGTATTTGTCTTGTTATTTATTGATGGGGTGCTTTGATTGTTAAGTGTAGAATGAATACCGAAGCGGGATTTCATATTAACAATTATTGATTACTATTTCAACCACATACGATGATTACCGATCATAATTGTTTGTTTCCCGTAATTAATGAATTAGTCTGACATTTATTGTGTAAAGTGATGCGCCCTGTCTCCAATTGCAACCGGTTCAAAATCAACAACAAAAAAATCGAGCGTATCAAATAAATTACACGAAGCAGCGCAAAACAATCAATAAATAGACTAATAAGGGGGATAATTTGAAACGTGAGCAAACGTCGAGAGTTGATTGAAAGATTGTAAACCGAAAACACATGAAATGAAAGAAAAAATGACGTGCACGCCTTTGCTTTGGTAAATATTCAATATTTACAGTCCATTATGGTTGCAATATTTTTAAGTGGATACACACAAAGAGTGGCGACAAAGGGAATTCACACAAATTTGACACTGCTAATTTAATGTGTGTATACGCGATCCATCAACAAAAATATTATAATATATAGGTATCTATAATAATAGGTAGCTATTGGAAGTCAATTAAATATTTCCGATTAGATGACACATGTTTTATTGTATTTCGAATGATTTTTATCAACTTTTTTTGTGTGATTTCAACTGAATTACATGCATTTTAAAATATTTGCACATAAATGATTGGATTTATTCACCAGACGTCCTTCTAATATTTTTTTCATTGAAATGTAACTGGCTATCGATGTAGAAAAGACCATCTCATTTCAATCTCTAAGTAAAGAAAATATGTTGATTTTCTTTTATCACACAGAATTGCTCATCGAAATTGTTTATGATACAAGTGCAAATAAAACAATTCGCATTATAAAACTTGGTATACATTTCTGACGCCAAATAAAGTCACAGGTTTTCAAAACAAATTTATTTTGCTAAGAATGTGAATTGCAATAAAAGGAAGAAATTGTTGTTTATTTAATCGTGATTCCAATGTGTTAATACATCATATGGGTGAATAACAAGTGAACAAACACAATATGTACACACACAACGTGAAAATTGTTCAAACAAACAGATTTGTTTTTGCTGGTTGTTCGGTTTAAGCAAGGATTACATTTATTTTATGTGCATTGTGCATAAATGTTTTACAATTAAAAATTTACTAATGCGTAATTTCGAAAATAAAACGATCATATGTATTTTACAGTGACATTATTCGTGATTTCGGTGTGCGTTGTGTTTTCGTAATCAAATTGTTTGTTCTATCTGCGAAGATCATGACAGTAGTGTACATTGAATTTCGATGTTGTAGTCATTAATATAAATGTAAATCTTGAAAATGGCGTAGGTTCAGTTTTTCAGGGAAACTCACTATGACCATATTGGTGTGTGTTGTTTTATAGTCATATCTATCGCAATCCTGATATTGATGTTCAACCAATTTTGTAAAATACGATTGCGAGAAATGAATCGTCCATATAGAATTTGTCATTTAGTTGTCTTCTTTTGTTGTTGCCATTCGACTTTTTTTTCAATCAAACAAAATAAATTAAGATATTTACTTTGATCGAGTTCCACTCATATTGCATTACGAAGAATACAACGAAAACAAAAGACGACTCACCGACGAACAAAAAAAACATTGATGACACACAAAATGAGAGCAAAAAAAAACCTCCGTTTGTGATTAAGATAGAATTTCCCAAGAAATTGAGTGTGTGTCACACACTGAATGCGTAAATATTGCCGAATTTTCTTTCAGCAGTCAAATGAGAAAGACACAGAACAAACGTCATTGACAAAATAAAACACCACAAATTGTTTGTATATACGATGTACTAAATTGTATAATTGATGTTGACACAGTGAGTGCACGAAAAGGCCGTCAGTCGAGATTGAAGTGACAACGCCAGATAGAAGTATGCAATGAACAAAAACAAAAGCGGAAAATTTATCCCTTTCTTGTTGCGTTTTTCCTCATTTATTTTCACTATTTTTACGAATACTATAAATACACGGACCGAAAATTCATTTAAAAAAAGCAATGAGTTTCCGGTTTTTGCTTACTCTAGCGAGAGTAAAACAGAATGAAAATCGTAAAGCAGGAGAACATAATGGACGCCACTTTACCGATATAGCATTTTAAGTGTAAGGAATACCCATTTGACCCTCAAATTTTGCTCTTAATTCATTAGCCATATGCATATATAGAAAGTATGTTCGGTGTTCAATGAACGACCTATTATTAATGAATATCCGAAATATCAAAGAAAACACACGACAGAATGAGCGCACATCAACTCATCCAAAATACAGAGCCAATGTGTATTAATAGTATTACTTTTTTTTGAAATTGCCTTCAATTTTAAAACGATAAATATTCTATGGTTCGATAAATTTACATTAAAATTGCATGATTAGTGAATGTCTTAGTTGTATCATCTGTCGCAAATAAACAATAATATCACCAATTAAGAGTGAGTGTCGTTTTTTTCGCACTACAATTGAGTGGTATTTATCGTAAAATAACTTGCTATTTCCAATAGATTCCAGTTATAATCAATAGCAAACACAAAGCAAGTTATGGCAGCAGCTGCAATAACAAGAATGAAAATATAAACAAAACAGCCGAAAGTAAGTAGGAAAAAGAATGTGAACACATTACATGACAATGTTAGTAGACTACAAAAATGGCAAGTATTTCAAAAATTTAACAAATGAATACGTTTTTTGTCTCTCTCGTTCATTTCAAGTTAACAGTTAGCAACATAAGAGGTCTATTAATTGACATAAAATCGATATTTGAAGACATTGAGAATGAGCGAGATTTGTTTTTTTTTTTTCGATTTCATTAAGTTCTTGTCACACAAAATAAAAACATATTTGTATTTCACTCACCCAACAAACTGTTGAACTTTCGCTATGTATGTCGACTGGCGGGAGATTTACTTTTCCAACTGATCGATAATTGCAATGTACTTGTTTATCAATGAGCATCACATTTATTCGTGCATTTAAAATATCAATGAAAGTTATTGTTTTACATTATTTTCGATTCACGATTGCAACGCATTAAATTAGTAATAAATGGCTGAATTATATTCTGCCATCCTATTAATACTCAGTTAAAATCGAGTCTACAATGATGATTTTTTGAATTTTGTTTATTTTACGTTTATTAGCACTTGACCGTGATGCGTGATGTGCCCGAAAAAAAGTCCCATTATTCATTTAACAAAATTTGTGTGTATATTTATCATGTGCACATTTTTTTTTTTGAGAAAATCACATAAACAATGTTGTTCGATTGATTAATTTAAAACGATTGCAATCAAGTGTGTCCTTATTTTATTTCTCAGAAAATGTCAATTGTTATTATTTTTATCACAAATCATAACGTTAGTCATTAATACCATTCCACTTGAAATTCACTTTGATTGGAGTGCATTTCGATGATATGACCGGTTTGAATCACAAAAAAAAAAGTTCAATTCAAGTTCTCTTGCTTAACACACACTATTTTGTGCACAATTCGGTTATTAATTGAATAAAATTAAAAAAAAAAAATTCTAATAAAAGACAAATGAAGTTCAAGTGCACAGATCAACTATACTCGCAAATACAACGTTGACTTTAAACAAACGTTGAAATCCGACAAAAATTTGTAAGCAGTCAACGGAGAAGAAGTAACGATACACCATTTTTTGCGGTTACTAATTGAATGAATACTTTGCTCGACAACAGTAGCAACATTGGCATACATACTCCAATTGATGTACACATGTAAATGAACTTGAGGCACTTTTCACGCCTTCTATTTCGCACTTGGCTGAATTCGATGCACTTATTGATTTGCTAATCGCGTACCGATGATAAACGTGATCACCCCCCAATTGTACGAAAAAAAATAAAAATAAAATTAAATTGTTTGGCAAATCAAATAGGAAAATAGAAATGCACACAGACACATATCAAAATCGCACAGTAAAATATAAAAACGTACTGTACCGACGTTGTGTTTGAACGAAAAAGACAACGGAGACGATGAAGAATAATATATATAGTTTGAACGAAAAATGTGTGTTTATTTTCTTCTTTCCGTAATCAAATAATAATAATACATTGCGTTCGATTTCGCAATCAAGAAGTTCAAAGCGATTTTGGCACAGGTCTGTTCGGCTTACCGTACAATGTGATATTGGTATATGGATTAGATAGTCTGGACTCGAGTGTTATGACTGAAAGCGCGAGATTGAAACACACACGCACACCGATCTGGAGAGATGGTGGAGTTTGTCAATCGCGCCGATGAAATGCTGTTAAAATAATAATAAATATTTTCCCTACAATGAGCACGATCTGCCGAGAACAGAATCTATATATTTTTTTTTCTTTCTTGTTCGTTTCTTCTGCTATGCAGTACACGTTTAAAGCAACACGCCTGTTGCGCTCGTAGAGTTTTACGATCGAACGTGTATTCTCTGTTTTCTCAATGTTCAAGCACATTGAAAGTGCGAGTGTAATGCGACGGCAACGACGATGATTTTGGCTGCGCTACAGTATATGCGCGATTGCTCTGACTCTTACTTATTCAGTTACTCATTCAAACTCTCTCGCTTCGACTCATTCAATTCGGTTCAATCGCATTTCGTTTGAGTCTCTCAGGAAAGACGTTTCGTTATATTGTGTATATTTTGGTATTACATTTCTCAGATGTTTTCTCTCCTTGTTATTCACACAATATATATATATATATGTGTGTGTGATGGCACGTAGTCTCAACAAAGAATCAGAATAAACAGAGGCCAAATGATCTCTTTGATCAATAAATAAACCAAAAATCGGATTTTCAAAATGCAATCAATCTAAAAATTGTGAGTATTACTACTCATCATCCTATACAATACCTTTGATGTTCCTCTCCATATGAACAATCGCAAAGTATTGAACATTTATTCGCATTTAAGTGTCGTAAAACACATTCCAAACACTTTTTTATGAAATAAACATAAATTCTTTTTTGTAGTTTCAAGTTTATTTTTCTTTAAAAAATCGGCATTTTATTCAGATGTTTATTCAATTACAAATCTAACAAGTAAGTAGTTTCGTTTCTCAACATAAGCGTATTGGTTTCACAAGAGAAATTTAATGAATCCTTTTAATTTAGTACAATAACGGGTGAATCTCTATCTTTCTCTCGGTGTGTATGTGTGTGTGTTTTAATCGCTTCCTCGTTGACTATCTACCAAATGCGCTTTAGATTTTTCATCGCACTTATGGTTTGTGGATGTAATTTTGTGGTAGACGGTGTTCGCAATTTAATATAGTTATCCATTTTGAATATTGGCTTTAGCACGTATCGAAATTGATTTTCGATGGCCAACAATTCAATGTACAAATCTTTGATATGCATATGAATTTGAAGGGCGCACTGCTTAAGAAGCCACTGAAAATGTTTCGGCAATACATTTACGCTGTCAACAAATGATGCATTTGTAATGTAATAAATATTTTGCATTGCAATCCAATAATCGAAATTGCTGATAATAAATTCAATTGAATCCTCGTTCTCGCCATTAAGGTCATGATCACTTTTGATCATTTCGTCATTGCTGTCACCGTCATCGTCGTCATCGTCGCTCGATTGGTAGTTTAGCATGTTGGATTGCTTATCTAAATTGCGCCGTGGTTCATTCAATACAATATCATCAACAATGTCCTTCTCTTCTTCATCAAAATACTGATATGCAGCCACATTGGCTGTCGGATTTGTGGACGAATTATCTGTATGGTTTGCTTTTCGAATGGCATCAGCGACAATTTGTTTGGTTCGTAGATTTGCTAAATGTTCGGCGATTTGTTCACCAATTTCATCGTTTTCCATCTTTCGATTTGTCTCTTGTGCTTCATATTTTTTATCATCACGTTCTTTTATCAAATCCAACCATTCGGCTCGTGTCACATCAAATTCAAATTGAACATTGGTCGTGGTTTTTCGATTCTCATGACGAACGTGTGCAAATTGTAAATTGGGATTGAATCCAATTTCTTTAATTTCAAGCTGTTGTTTCATCGAACGAAAGATTTTCTTCAGCCGCTTTGGTTTCAAATATGGAATAATATCACGTTTTTCATGGTCAACATTCATAAATTCGGGCACATAGATTTTCGATTTGATTGCTCGATCGTCAAGAATTTCTTCCATATAGCTGCTGAATGGTGTTAGAGATGGTTGAAATTGACATGATGGTTTCCATGTTTGTTGATTATCTTCATGCAATTTAACAATTTGATCAAAAACTAATCGAATATTTTCCATTTCAACCTTCCGGTAGCGTTCATTGTATGTACTGTCTTCGTTGGTGCGTTTCAAATAGTCAATATACATATTTGTGTGCATGCTGGTGTTTGGATCGATTTCCATTGCAGTCGGATAGTGACATTGTGACAAAATCGTATTTCGCATTTCGATGTATTCCACCCATTCACTCCAAACAAACAACGGCTGCTGTTTTGAATCACATTCGATTAATTTGTGGTTGATCACTTGTGCCGATGCCGATATATCATTTTCACGTTTGTCATCCACACCGAAAAATAATTTTAAAATGAAAATAATGTATGCCATAGCACGTCCCTCAAAGTTTGGTACGGTTCGTGATAGTGCGCTCGTTTCGCTCATTTTCATCTCGGGCGGATTAAAGGCAATCAATCGCTTCACCATTTCAGCTATTGCCGACGGAAGACACAAATCCTTACAATAACGTTCGCACAGCATTGTCAAATCGGGTTGAATGACATTTTGTATGCCAATAATTCGTGCGATTGTTAGAGCTTTGGTGCGTAGAAATGCGTGCGTTAAATTGTCATTGGAACTCTTTCGAAAATGATTGACCGCCTGTTTGGCATCGATGGTAGGCGGAAGAAATGTACTTATATTATTTAGTTTGATGTGTGACTCTTTGGCATAACGAATTAAATCGCTAATTTGTAAAGTGTCACCGATTTGATTTAATGCCAACCATAACATGGCAAACACGAATGTACGTCCCAGGACCTCTCTATCTTTAATGTTATGGCATTTCAGTTTACGTCCAATATCATTTTGATGTTCCGTCAAATGTTCGCGTGAGATTTTCTTGCTCAATTTTTGCCGTGTTCGACGTGAATATTTTATTCGAATTGTCGTATCCGTGTTGTCTGATGATGGACCCGTTGATGATTTTTGTGAACCCAAATTAAAACCCAACGAACTTATATCCGTTTTCTGGGAGCTCATATATTCTTCATATTGAGCATTGGCTAATAATTGCTAGTTGAAAAGTGGAAAACATAACCAACGGTTAACATTTTTATCAAAAAAAAAAAAAATCGTGCAAAACTTACTTTTTTCTTCCTCAATGCAATTTTTGATTGACGTAATGTCAAATTCTCACTTGATCCCGCCGAACTGGCTGTTGTTGATGATGGTCGTCGTTTTTTCACCGGCAAACTATAAATCAGTCTTACATCTCTGCAAGGAAATCATTTGAGAAATTTAAATAGTATTCACTAACAAACAGATTAATTTTAAATGCTTAAATTGATGACCGTACCGGTGTTTATATTTGAACGAAAATTTCGGTATTTTTGTTTCTTTTTTGCCAAAAAATGCAATCTCATTTTTACGCAAATATGCTGACCACAGTTGTAATGTCATTAGGGTGAGTTCGTCCTTACACCCCAACTGAATGAGTTCGTTTACAAATTCATAAATAATGTAATTGTATGTTTCCCACGACGTAAGTTCACTGTCTGTATCGAAATGATAAAATTTATTTTATATCTAATTGAATAGAAATAATAAAAAGCATCGTGCAAAATTACTTTGTGTTTGAACAGTTTTTTTAATTTTATGGGATTTTTTCTGAATATCATCGAATTGTCCATCGGCTTGATCTTCAACTTCTTGTAAAGTGGTTGCTTGTTGTCCGCAATTGTCGCAGTAGTAAAAACCTGCATTAACCGTAAATTCGGTGCCATCACAAACATTACAAACAGTGTCCATCGTCTTTAATTCTCATTTCGATTTCAAAAATAGATAAATAATCGCTTGTGACTATTTCACATCAAACATCAACATAATAATAATAATAAACACATGTTTTTTTTCTTCATCGAAATTATGACAGACAAACATTCACTCATCGTGTGTCCCAATGTGTCAGTTGTCATCACATACACACGATTTTCTATCGATGGAAAAAAGAGACAGCACAAGATTAACGAACCAAAACCGAAATTACAACATTTGCGTGTAAATTGTGTGTGCGCAAATGAGATAACTAGTCGTACATTTGCCCATATTTGACGTATACATTCGCCAAGACAGCGCCATCAACGTTCATTTTATCAACTTCGCAACTACCAAATCACCAAGTTATTTATTCTGTATATTTAGTGCATCGTATCGAAATTAAAAAAAATTCCTGTACGTGCACACATAACACATTGATAAAATACCGTGAAAATCCCCTCAAAAAATAGCGTAAAAATTTCATATTTTCCTACAAAATAACAAAAAAGATTCGATGTTTTATTACTTTTTCAATATCCATCGATTAAGTTAAGAACACACTCACTTTCCGGATCCAAGCAAAAAAGTTCACACAATTAGTTTAGAGAAGCGAAAAGTGATTAAGACTGTTCGCTATATTATTTCGTTGTTTTTTTTTTATTTTGTTATAGTGTAACCAAGTAAAAATTATATACAAAAATCCCTCAAAATGGTTGATAAATTTATAAGTATGTGGAAAGTGCGTGAAATCGCCGACAAAGTGTAAGTGTTGTTTGAATTATTCTCTTTTTTTTTTGGGAAATATGTAGTCCAAATCACCTTGTAAATCAGATTAAATCTTGTTCGCTCTCTCACGCTCTTGTGGTTACAATCTAATTACCTTGTATATTTTATCATCATCATCATTGTGTCAAAATACAAAAGGCATTGAAATTGAATGCAAACCATGTAGTTAATGTGAGCTTCTTCGTTAAGATAGAGGCAATTTTATTGATGCAAATAAAGTATTCTGTATTTTCCGTGGCAATTCATTTGATGTGTGTACACACACCTTCTGAGAATTGACAGTTCTTCTCATCTATATGCAACATGTTTGTTTTGCTTGTTGTCCGTTCATTCTCCTTCTCGTGTTGTATCCTTTTAATGCAGTTCTAACTTATAATTATGATTAGCATATTGAATGGAATTGAATAATTGTATTCCGGTAATTATGTGCGGTAATTGCATGTCGAATGCTAGACTGCAACTGGTTTTCATCGCTTCAAATTATCTCGTAATGGATAAATATGGGCATAAATGTCATTTATGGCTAAATTGTATGTACATGTACGTTCTGCATCCAAGTGCTAAGCGATTGTCACGTAACAAACGAGAAAGTGAAAGATTGGCGAGTGTTTATTGCGTTTTTTTTATTTGCGCCCCGAACTACTGGAACATTTCACAGAAAAGATTCGACAAGCAATGAATGCAATGAACACCATCGTATATTAAATGTTGTAATCTTTTTTTAAATGAATAAACATGTCTCTTTTTCTCTCTGTGTGTCTTTTCTATAGTTGTTTAATCTCATTTTTGTGTTAGAAATTGCGTAGCCCAACATACATTAATGACCGAAAAAATGACTTGAAAAGCAAATATTTCACAATGTTCTGGTGTCAGTCATTTGAAAATGGCAAAACCATTAGCAATTATTATTATCAATTTATTATCAATTATGCATGCTTATCATCAAGATAAAGCTCTTTATCGGTTCCAAAGACCATTTAAAATAAACCATATACGTCTTCAATGAAATGAAAGGCAATAACGAACATTTTTGTGTATATTTTCACAGAACCAATGTTGTTATGAATTATACGGAAATCGAAGGAAAGGTTCGAGAAGCAACAAATGATGAGCCCTGGGGACCAACCGGTCCACTAATGCAAGAGCTCGCCCATTCAACATTCACCTATGAACATTTTCCCGAAGTGATGTCTATGCTCTGGAAGCGAATGCTTCAAGACAACAAAACTAATTGGCGAAGAACATACAAGGTATGGGCTAGCTCAATAAAGAGACCGAGAACTTGAAGAAGTTACAATCATTTTAATTACATTTTTCTTTGAACTTTTCACAGAGTTTGCTGTTACTTAATTATCTCGTTCGAAATGGTTCCGAACGAGTGGTGACATCGTCACGGGAGCACATCTACGATTTGCGATCGTTAGAAAATTACACATTCACCGATGAAAATGGTAAAGATCAAGGAATCAATGTTCGACACAAAGTTCGTGAGCTAATCGATTTTATACAAGACGATGATAAATTACGTGAAGAACGAAAAAAGGCCAAAAAGAATAAAGACAAATACATTGGCATGAGTTCGGACGCAATGGGCATGAGAATGAGCTCAAGCTCTGGCGGTAGTGCGTACAATGATTGGGATTCCCATAAAAATGATCGGAAAAATTCCTATGAAGATGATTATCACTACGATGGTGAACGTGAAGATTCGGATGTTGATTCATCCGATCCACCGTCAACCAGGTAAAATTCGATTCGGTGACAAATGCAAGCGCGCACATAATGTACATTTAATTTTTTTTTTTAATTTTTCATAAAGACGGTACCGTGATAAAGAGCGGACGGAATCGACGCCGGCACCACCAGCAGCGGCAGCTGTTGTGACAACAACACCACGAGCCACAACCCCGCGAGCAACAACACCCTCCGAAATAAAGAAATCAACCATTAATGTAACGGTCAATCCAAAATCGTTGTCATCAAATCAATTATCAACCAAATCGAAAAATATTAGCAAGAAAATTGATATGGGCGCGGCCACAAATTTTGGCCGTGATGAACTCGGCATCAATTCGCCAACACATCGAAACACTCATGCTGAAGAAGATTTATTTTCAACAAGCAATATAATAAATACATCGACCGCAAATAAATCCGATTTGGATGACATATTCAAAACATGTTCAACCACAAATAATTTGGTTTCGGACCCGGTTTCATCGCAAAGCAAACGTGTTGAGGATGACTTTTTCAATCCGCGCGCCGACGAATCACAAGAATTTGGTGATTTTGCCAGTGCATTTGGTACATCATCGGCAACGGTACAACCAACAACACCATTACCACAAGAACAACCGGAAAATAATGCGCTCGTCGATAGCAATGACACAAAGAAAAATGAATTTGCCGACTTTAGTTCGGCATTTGAAGCAAATCATCAAACCTCAAGCAATACTACCAACGATCCGGCCAATTTATTATTTGCTATAAATTCAACTTCAAACGCACAAACTACGGCTTCCAATAGCAATCAAAAGGTTGGAGACCTTTTATCTGATTTAGATGGTTTAAGTTTGGATGTTTCGGTGCCAACTGGTAAGTTGATCACATTTTCCGTATTCTCCAATTTTTTTGTTTTTGTTTTGCTTTTTTCTCTATTTCTCTCTCTCTCTCTCTCTCTCTCTCTCTCTCTCTCTCTCACTATCGTTTTGTATCCTTTTTCGTATTGCGGTCATCATATTGTATATGTGATTTTTTTTATATGCCATTCCAACAAAACTTAGGTTTTACATCTTCTTTTACAAAAAATGTTGGACGGCATCGTGATTCACAAAACAAGTTTTTACTCTTAAAAACCGATATAAATAACTGGTTTCTTTTAGTTGAACAATTCGTTAGCAAAATAAATTTCATATATAGAAGAGTTTTTACTGGTGATCGTGTAATAAATTAGTTTGTCGGGCTTAAATTAGCGCCAAAGTTAATTCCTTCGTACGAATTGTGTGTAGCGTTTTCACGATGTGAGAAATATTGAAGTAATTTTTCTCTGTCTCTTTCTCTCTCTTTGTGTGTGTATCGCTAAAATAAAGCAACATTTTAAATTAACTTAATGTGTGAGTAAAGGTACCAATTAAGGTATTCCAACTCATTTGAATATATTACATGCATGCAATGTACAATGAAAGTTTTATAGCAATTTTGATTGAATGAGGAAAATGTAGTATTTGAACATTTTAAATGCTTCTCTTTTTTTTTCAAAAAACAAAATATAAATTTAAAACAAACAAACTTAAATACAAAACAAAAATGGGAAAACAATGAGTATATTTCCCGTTCCAGTTTCATCGACGGCTGAAAACAACGCAATAATCACCAAGGATACGACGGATAATAAATCGACAATAAATCATCGTGACGCAATATCCAAGCTACTTGAGAGCCTTCAATCGATTGAAAAACTCCAGTCAATAAATGATGTTGATCGTGTCAATTCGATTGTCGACCAATTACTTATGCATTTACCGGGACCTGTTACACCGGAAAAACTGTGTCGCATTGATGTGTGTGCAAATACAAATTGGCAACAAATAGCCGAGTTCGAATATGCCATCGCTCAAAATGAATTGATTCGCTTATTTGATGATGAATGGCCAATTAAAATGCAACCATCATCAAACAATCAATCCAACATTCATATTATGCCAAATGTGCTCAATCTATTTTCCATTGATCATTCGATGTATTTTGTAAAAACAACGGTTTATAACATTTTCAAGGCGGAAAACAACGTCAAATTCGATAAACTGATGCACATTTTTGAAATGTGCATTCGCAACGAATGCTGGCTATTGGCCACTTTCGTTGATTTTTGCTATGATGATGAAAATGAAACAAAACCACTTGACTATGATGAGGAACGTGACCAATTTATTCAGTTATTGATAGCAGCACCAAATAAAATTGCCAATTATTTTATGGGCAAACATTCCAGTCTCTTTGATCCCGAACGTTACAGTTGTATTATATTGTTGGCATTGACTCAAGCACTCTATTTTATTACGGAAACGAATCGAGTTGAGCGGCGAACATTGTTTGGCACCAAGTTTTTGGGTCAATTATTCGGTCGCATTGCAGTCGATTTCAATTTGAATCGTACTTCAAAAGTTTTGCCGGAAATATTTCGTGTAATGTCATTGCTAGCAAAACGGTCGGACGACTTTAAAACGATTGTACAGCAAATGTTATTGCAAATACATGGAGAATCATTTGATATTGTCGCTTGGTATGCATTGAATACAATAAATCCAAATGATTTGTTGGGCGATGCCGTGAATACATCGGACGATTGGGGATGTGTTTTAAAATCAAAAATACCTCTATCGCCACCTGGTGGTGTGACGGACGATTTTATACGTACATTTATTGGTTATTTGTCGAAAAATCTATCGGCCGATGAAAAATGCACGGTATTAGAAAATGTGGCAAAGAAATGGTCAAGTAAATTATCACTTAAAATCAATTCAATTGATCAACATCTATATTTTACAAAAGTTCTAGTGCATGGCGCTGAACGATTTGAATTGAAACAAAGTAAACAGTTCACCGAGAAATTGTCATTAATCATACACAATGGCGTTCGTAATCACATGGATCTATTGGATGAAAAAATGCGTGCCATCGGAATGATAACCGCTGAAATTATTTTAAATAAATTCAATAATCATGATGACGACGAATCAAAATTGCAATTTGATTATGATGGATTTGCAAAGGAAGCAAGAGAAATTGTTGAAGCAATTAAAAATTTCAATCAATATACTGAACCAAATGAGATGCAAATGTTGAATGACAACGATTTAGAGCATTCTATTACCAGTCTATATGACATTGTAAATGAAAAAGAAGCAGCGAACAAATTGAAAGAGATGCCATATTCAAAACCGTCTACCTCAAGTCAAATTCAAAATACAGCCTTTGAAATCGGTTCATTGGGTGCGGCACAATCAAAAGCTGGCCCAGTATTGGCCACACCAAAGCCCATTTTGTCCGATGATGATGATTTAGATTCGGACGACGATGATCTGCAACCGTATGATATGTCGAATGATACGCCAATCGTGGAAGACAAGCGACCACGGTATTTACAAGATATTCGAGAAGCATTGCTTGAAACAGACGATTTTGATGTCTTTGAACAAACAATGATCTCAAGTGCATCGCTCATTGAATTAAGACTTCCGCACGATGATTCGAAGATTGGCGTTGAATTATTGCGGATATTCATTGAGATCGATGATCGTTTTCATGTGAATGATTTTGATTTTCATCGAATGTCATGCTGTGTAGCAATTTGTTGCATAAAACCAAAAGATTCGTCCGAATTTCTATGCAAACAAATTCATTCGGAACTCGGTAGATATTCGATTGGTAAAAAGGTGTTGATGATGGAAATTTTGGCTGAATCGGCCAAATCACTGGCAAAGCTTACAAAACCAAAAGAAAAACCACCGCAACCGATTGTGCCGCCTGTCAAACGGTACACACTAAAGCTTGGCGATGACGATGATAAAGCACAATTAATTGAAGCGCGACGAATTGTAAAAGAGCGTCTGGAAAAGAAAACGCGACGTTTTGCCCATCCATCGACAAGTATTTTGCATGGAGGAACAACAAATAAATTTTCAGATGTGGCCGGTTCATTTTTCTTTCCACTTCTGTATGGCATCGGTAAAGATGAATTGAAAATGCATGGAATGAACAATGCCCTAAAGGATGATACCGATAATATATTGTTGTTGAATCTTTTGCGCACTATTGGTACAATCACATTTGCATGTGAAAATTGTCCAATCATCACACGTGTAACACCCGAAGTTTTGCAACTTGGATTTGCGTTACGTTTTCATGCTGAACCAAAGATACGATTGGCGGTGCTGCAAATGTTGGCCGCCGCCCTATTGGCAACACCAAAATCACTATTACAACTTCATTTTTCGGCACATTTGATTGAAATGAAGGATTGGCTGGAAGAGTATCTATCGTTCAATATTATCAAAGGAGAAAAGAATGAAGAATGCCGTCGAATGGCACAAAGTCTTCTTGCATTGTGCTTTGATGCACTTATAGCTGACGTATAAACTCCTATATAGTAGAAGAAGAAAAAATAATAATTTTGAAATATTTTGTCATCTCAATTAACGATGTAAACACGAAAATACAAACACACATTTCATTTTTGTATAAATTTTTGTTTTCAATCATTTTTCGTATAAAAAAATAATGCGATCTTTTATTATCATCTCAATGTTTTAACAATTTCTCATTTTCACTCTTTAAACGGTTAAATTTATTTTATAAATATCGTTCCATTGCCTTTTGCATTGATTTCTCCCAACTTCGTGAGAATTTTTTGTAAATGGCCATTGTAGCTTGTGCATCTTCCACCGAACAATGTGCTCCGGTTTGTATGTCATAATTCAAAATGCAATTGGTCAATAAACGTAACGATGGACTTCTTCCCTCACTGAATTCTCTACACTTTTTGTAAGTTGATGTGTCTCGAATTAATCTGAAAATATCGTACGGGGAAAAAAGCGCAAAAATTTGAAAATTTAATAACATTAACGTTTCAAAGTTTGCAAAAAAATGATTTGCATTGAGTTTTTTCTACCTTTTTGGATGTTCCATTTTAAGAACTTTCAGGTCATTGTGCAAAGCGTGTCCAACGAGAATTCTATTAAATTTAATTCGACTAACTTCGGCCTGTACATCAGCAAAATTGGCGGCGTCTTCTAAATGCAACGGTGTTATACCACTGTATTGTGTACGATAGTCGATGACTGGCATTGTTGGTTTTACATATTTATCCATAATTATTTCACCACGTTCATTCACTATTGAAACTCGAGCCAACATATGATCTTTTCCATTCGGTCCAATTCCAACCATTTCACAATCCAATGCGATGGCACTTGATTTTGGTAAAAAACCTATGTAAAAATTGATGAAATTAAACGATTAAACCTGTGCCTGCCCATGTGTATGTTGTATACAATGTGATAATATGTAAAATAATTTACCAATTTTTTTGGCAGACGGTATGGTTCGCTGAGATTTTAATGAGCCGGCCACACTATTCCAGTTGGCGCTTACTTGATTTCGACTAGTTTTTGCTGGCGATGGTTTATTTGTTGCTAACGGACCATGCGTGTCAATTTTATTCGTTTGATGTCCATCTTTCAAACCATTCGCATTCGTCACTGTGCTTTTATTCAATTGTTTTGAACTTGGACTCCGTTGGATTATTGGCACGGAACCAATCAAAATCTTTTTATTGTTTATTTTTGTCTCCTTTTTTCCACTCATTTTTTTAAAGTATAGTTTTGTTTTTCTATATATACCTATCAAATTTTTTTTATCTACAAAAACAAGTTAAATTAGCTGAGGTAACTCGTGCGTAGTTTCTCGTTAAAAATGCTGTAACATTGGCTAAATCATGATAAACTTAATGAATTTTTTGGTTTAAAATCAAATGTAACGAGAAAATTTATTTCATGTATATAATTTAACTAGAATTTTGTCTGTATGTTAATTACAATAACACTGTACGATATACGTAAATTTTGTGACCTGTCAAATATCTGGCAAACAAAAATGGCGACTCACATTGTACTTTTAGTACATAACGAAACTGAACGAATGTGAACTGTCTGTACTAAATCTGTTTTTTCACCTATTTTTAATATGATAAAAAAGATGATGAAGAAATGCTTTTAAGTTTTCTTCTTTTTTTAAAAAAAATGTTTTGTGTTTTTTCTTTGCGAAAAATCTCAAAATGATGGTAATGATATTAATATTTTCTTCTTCTTCTTCTTTTTCAAACAGGTAATATATTGCAGCCGACAAATAATATTTTAACTCCACAGTCAACTGCTCAAGTAGAAAATCCAATGGAAACGAAGCAAGCACCACTGGCAAATGTTGGTCAAACGTGGTCAAATTCCGCCCTTAATATTGATTTGGATAATTTAATGTCAAACAAATCAAAATTATCAAATGCATCATTATCGATGAATCAATTGAAATTACAGAGTCCCGTCAAACAACAGCAATCACCGGTGCCGCCAATGATGTCACCACCGCCCTTACATATCAACAATAATGCTGTAAACAATAATTTTAATAGTTTAAACAACAACAATTTTGGTGGCGTGAATATGTTTAGCGCAACACCACAGCAACACCAGCAACCAAACATTTTATCGGGTAATGTGCAACAACCCTTCTTTGGCAATCTTATGGCTACGGTTAATCCAAATGCAAACAATTTGAATGATCAATTTAATGCATTTCAATGATACATAATCGATAAATGCTAGATTTATTTGAATCCAATTCAATTCATGAAAGAAGAAAGAATATAAATACACACTCACTCACACACATACACATCGTAATTGGTAGTGATTTGTACTCAGAATTAAATTTTTTGGGGCTTAAAAAAAGAATAAAAAAATTTTACGAAAAGGAAGCCGTATATCACATATACAATTTTGTATGTAGAATGTAAAGAAATACTAAACTATCGTACGCCAAAATTCCTTTTGCATAGAAAAAAATTATATATTATATAAACAAAAAAAGCATATATCACTAAACATCGAAACGATGTGTTTGTTAACATTCCGACTAAATGAAATCAAACGTATTCGAAATTTTAACGAAAAGATAGAGAAAACACACGGATTGTAATAACTAATTATTTGTTTCTGTTTTAGTCTAAAAACAAATTTAGAACAGAAAATGAACGACTACTTTGATTTAAAAAAAAAGAAACGTAAATTATAGAAAGTTTTTATTAATATTTTTTCCGTCTCTGAAAGCATTTTATTATAAAAGAAGAAAAAAAAACCTAAACGAAATCATTTTGTTAATGTGCCGATGCAATTCATTTGAAAATATCATTTAAATTCTATATCAAAATGTGTCCTTCTAATTGGTTTTTGTTCGAAAACATTTCAGTTTAAATGTAAACACATAGAAAAAAAAAAATTCTATTAAAGTTTATTTAAAAAAAAAAATTACTAACTTCGATGTTCGATCACATACACACACAAAAAAAACACACAGGGTTTATGGGTAGATAATAATAGCAATAAATCTTTATCTTTTGATTTTCTCGTTTATATATTAAAAAAAAAAACATTATTTTAATCTATTTTCCTTCCTCTACTTATTCTCAATCCTTAATTGAATTAATTTATGAATATTAATATTTTGACATCAATGTTTTTCTTGTTTTATTTTTTCTTTAAGTTTGTTCGTTCGAATAAATTTATTTTACCAATTTATTTGATAAATATTGTTGAAAGCAAAGCACATTTAATAAATGACAAATGATAATAAATTTTTCCAAAAAAAATAGAGAGAGCGAGAAGAAAATCAATTAAAATATAATTATTCTATGAACGAAATAGCAAAAAAATTATAAAACAGTGTACATAGAAATTCGAAGAGAATATAAAATGTTTTTAAAGAGAAAAAAAGGTGTGTAAAAAACTGTTTAAATAAAGATAATTAATTCGAAATTTAAAGCATTCATTTTTTCGTAAACAGCATTCATTCCACGTGAGTGATAAGCAGACTTCAAAAACTGCCTTGTTTTGAATGTGGCAATGCGGTGAATTTTATTGACATTTCAAAATGGTGACTTTTTTTAGTACAACAGCGTTTCGTTAAGTTAATGTACACATATGCTTCAAATGTGTCAAACTACACATTTACTCTCAATAGTTGTTCCTGAATGCCACACGTGCTCTGTGGGATCAAAAACACACATTCTTTCAACAGTGTTTGGTGTGTGGAACAGTGATTAGTGTACCGTGTTTAAAAGAAACACGTGCTATAAAGGCATTCATTTTATTTGCCAGTTAAATTGATTTCACAAAGAAATAACAATGGTAAGTGTGCATTTGTTTTGAAAATATAATTTTATTTATCAATTTTTCAAAAAAAACCTTTGATTTGCGAAATGCGTTCATTCACTTAACCTCACAAAACATAGATAACGTGTTTTCGGTGTCTGTGATAATCTAAGTTACTAATTAATATTGTGTGGTGTTTTTTTTTCTTCACTTTTTAGGTGAAGTTACAAGTTCTGTATGAGCATGCAGCCGGTTATGCACTATTCAAAGTAACTCAATTCGAAGAAGTGGCCGTACTATTGCCGCAACTCGAATCATCCGTCACCGATTTGGCAAAATTCAATTCGTTGGTAAAATTGGTTGGATTTTCACCATTCAAAACAGCCGTTTCAGCATTGGAAAATGTGAACGCCATCTCCGAAGGTATTGTACCAGAAGATTTGGCATTATTCTTGGACGGTGCCATAACATCCAAAGAAAAGGTCACATTGGGTGTTGCTGATGCTAAATTGGGTGCTGCCATCAATGAAGCGTTGAGCATTAAGACCACACACATTGGTGTCGTACCAGAGGTGTTACGCGGAATTCGATTCCATTTCCACAATTTGGTGAAAGGATTCACAGGCAAATCGACTGGCGTCGCTCAATTGGGTTTAGGACACAGTTATTCACGTGCCAAAGTCAAGTTCAATGTAAACCGTGTTGACAACATGATCATTCAGTCGATTGCATTGCTTGATCAATTGGACAAAGATATAAACACATTCTCGATGCGGATTCGTGAATGGTAAGTAAAATTAAAGGCGTATAGATTTTCGGTTTATTTTATTTTTTCCTTTCACAAAAATGTTTTTTTTTTTGTTTCACTCCAACACAATAGGTATTCATACCATTTCCCAGAGTTGGCCAAAATTGTTACCGAAAACTATAAATACGCCAAAGTAGCACAGTTCATTAAAGATCGTAAAACATTGACTGACGAAAGCCTTGAGGGTTTGGAAGAGATTCTTATGGATTCAGCTGCTGCACAAGCAATTATTGATGCATCAAAAATGTCCATGGGTATGGATATTTCGGTTGTCGATTTGATAAACATTGAAATGTTTGCCACACGCGTCGTCAATTTGTCCGAGTATCGAAAACGTTTGTCTGAATATTTACACACAAAAATGGAAAGTGTTGCACCAAATTTGCAAGTATTGATTGGTGATCAAGTTGGTGCCCGTTTAATTTCACATGCTGGCAGTTTGACAAATTTGGCCAAGTATCCAGCATCGACTGTACAAATTTTGGGTGCAGAGAAGGCACTTTTCCGTGCATTGAAATCGAGAACAAATACACCAAAATATGGTTTGCTGTATCATTCCACATTCATTGGTCGTGCCGGTCTTAAGAATAAAGGACGTATTTCAAGATTTTTGGCAAATAAATGCTCGATTGCATCACGTATTGATTGCTTCTTAGGTAAGTTTAGACAAAACAAAAACGTTTGAAAGAAAACATGATTTGAACAATTTATTGATGATATCAATTGTTATTGTTGTTTTTTTACAGAAACACCAACTAGTGTTTACGGTAGTAGTTTGCGACAACAAGTCGAAGATCGCCTTAAGTTCTATGAGTCCGGTGAGGCTCCACGAAAGAATGTTGAAGTCATGGAAGAGGCAATGGCTTTGGTCGACACAGAAACAATTGAAAATTCAGCAAAGAAGAAGAAGAAGAAGGATAAGAAACGTAAATCAGAGGCGGCTGCGGATGAGACATTTGAAAATGGAAATGGCACATTGAACACGACCAACGGTGACGATAATGGCGAGCCTCCAAAGAAAAAGAAGAAGAAAAATAAGAATAAGGAGTAAAAGTCTACTCTTTGATCGAATTGATTTAATTTTGCATTTTATTCAACTGAATTTAATAAAAAAATATTCATTTACTACAAAACAATTTTTGTTTGTTTGTTTGTTTGTTGTGGCTTGAAGCCACTGGCATCATTTATTCTTGATGCTCATAATCGTTTCCTCTTCCGCAGCATTTCATCAAGTATTCGAAGAAGAAGGCTCAAGTCAGAGCTAAAGATTGAAGTGATTAACAATCAGTTTTATTGTTTTTATTAAATTTCAACGCCCAGCGGTATTATTAATTATTATTGTATTGTTACAAGCTCCTGGTCTTCTCATAATAATAACAGTTTTGGTGTCAACACATTTTATTTGTTTGGACAGTGGTGTGACTCAATATATTGAGTGGCACGCGCCACCTGGTGACAACATTAGTATAAAAAGGATACAAACAAGGATGAAATACGCTTCAAATCTTATTACTGAAATTCAACTAGACAATCAAATGAAGCTACCATTCAAAACATTGTTTAATTTTCAGTTAAATCTCCTCACACATCTCAATTTATTAATAATACTACTTGCTCCCTTCACTCTTTCATTATTTTTTTGGTCCCATGGATTTTTGTGCCAGGTATAAAATAATAAATTACATTTTATGAAACATTTTAATATTGTTGCTATTTTTTATATAGCCAAACGTTCATGAACATTTGCAAACTCCGGCTGCAAAAGTATGGATTATCGCCCAATCGATCGCCGGTAAGATAAATACTTGATTCATTCTTATGAAACAATTAATTCATTTTCAATTCATTTTTACATTCGTTTAATCCACAGTACTCATAAATTTCGATAAATTTTTTGCAAACCATATAATCTTTCAAATTACTGAGTTTGTGCTGTGGCAAATATCGTCGTTGCTTTTAATCATAGTGTGGGTGTCAGGACTTCCACCCACTTGGAAATATATTTCGGACATTTCCTTTCTTCATCAACACAATTCTAAATGGAATAAGCCATTTTATATTGCTTTACTATGGAGTGAGTAAATAAAAGAGACTTTTCCTAATCATGCAATGTCTTGACATGGATCTTTGCTATATTACAATCAAATCTAATATTAGCAAAGGCAAACTAACGGGGATGAGATCGAATATTAAATGCGTATTAGTAGAATTTGGACTCGTTTGTATGATATCCTTTTTCCTTTATAAAATCTATGGGAAATTTTCGTATATCTATGCAAGCGATTGATCAAGCCATAAACCACTTGATCAATTCAATACAACGCTTGACTATCTATGTTTTGCTGAATTTCACTTGACCATAGATAAGAAAATGTCCGTTAAAATTAAAGATTTTTATAAAGAGACGGGTATCGATACCAAAACGGCGTTTTGTAGTTTAGACGTGTAAGAAAATTGACTGAATTTCAACTCTTTTCAATTGATAATGCTTAATTTTGGATCATATATATCCATAAATGGTTCGTATTGTTGAGGTCATTGAATTAATCCAAACAAAGCGACATTTCACTTTCCAAACACACTAGATCAACTGTTTCCATTTCGTATAATACAAAGATAAAATTTAATAAATATCGTATAGCGGAAACAGCGTTTTATATTTACTTAATCATTAAACGGAAAAAAGATTGAAATTCAACTACCTCGCTCACACACATTAATAATAACAAATATTTGTTTTAAAATAATGTCACTATTGTGCGCGTCAATCACAAAATCTATAATTGATAATTCTTTGTTATAAGTGAGTCTATCTACCTATTATTTCTAAACGTATGAGATAAGACTATTTAAGTGCATTTAAAATTGTAGATTTAAGAAAAAAATTCAATTATGTTTCAATTTATTTCTAATGCAAACATCATCTATTTATAATTCGATTGGGAAATGATATTTTGGATAAAAAATTTCCTTTCGAACGGTCTCTATATTGCTGAGGTCATTGAAATGATAAAAACAAAGCCCAGTTGATTAGTTTATCTAAGCGATTATAGTGTACACTGTACACACACAGGGCATTACTATGCATTTCGCCAATGTATGTATGCATGTGTGTGTGCGTGTGTATATGTCAAGAGCGCATTTATATATATATATATTTTGACGCTTTATTTCATTATATGATTTCAAAATTAGATGTTGTGTAGTTAAGGCCAATAAAGTCATTTCAGACCGGTTGAATTTTGTGTTTGTTATTTGTTTTTATCATAATTTGTCTTGTGCTCAGCGAAATACTGCCAATTTTATTAAAAAAAAAAAAAAAACAATCTTATCAGTGTTCGATTTATTGTGAAATGAGTGTTCAATATGACGAAAAATTACCGCCTCATAATTATGAATATGCTGAAAAATACTTGGGCGAAACAAAAGATTCGCGTGATAAGTGTTTAAGTGAAATTTATAAATGGTTAGATGCAAATCCAAAAATTAACGCAAATCGGAATACAACGTCATTGCTGCATTTTTTACGCGGTTCCAAATTTCAATTGGAAAAGGCAAAAAAACGAATGGAAACGTTAGTAAATGTTGTTACCGGTTTTATTGTGTTTATTTTTGGAAATTATGAAAGTCATTAAATTTGAAATTGTTTTTCCCGAATTGAATGTTCATTTCGAGCAGGTTTTACCAATTGAGAGCCGAACGTGTCGAATGGTTTACCGATCGTAATCCACTTAACCCTGAAATTGAAGAGCTCCTAGATCTCGGTTTATTTTTGCCACTAGATTCAAAAGATGTTAACAATTATCAAGTATTCATTATACGAACAGGCGTCCATAATCCACACAAACACGATCAAAACGATGTACTAAAGGTTACTATCTTGCATCACTGCATTCTCGTTGCCGAAGCGATAAGAACAAACAATGCTGATTTTTTTTTATTTGCGTTCGTTCATTGGTTTTAAAATATAGGTCATGAAAATGGTACTTGACGTTGTTTTGTATTTGGACGAAACGATTTCGATTTACGGGACGGTTGCAATTTTTGATATGAAAGGAGTCACCTTGCGGCATGGTCTTCAAATGACCCCAACCATTATAAAAAGGCAATAAGTAACCAATAATGACGTTTCATTTAATTGAAAAGTAAACATTAATGAAGATTAATTAATTACATTTTCTTCGTTGTGTGTATATGTCGTATTTACAGGGCTGTCTATTGCTGGGAAAATTATGCATGTAAAGTGAAAAAATTGGAATTTATAAATGCACCAAAACATGTGAATTTTGTGTTAGACATTTTTTTAAAATGTATGTCAAAAAAGTTGGCCGCCCGTGTATCGGTAACAAGGGGTCCATCCACAGTTGAAGCTAATTTACCAAAAGATATTGGCGGTAATGGTCCAACTTATGATGAGCTCACCAAACATTGGAAGCAAAAAACACAAGAAAAAGCAAAATGGTTTGCCGAACAAGAGCAATATAAAATGATTTTGGAAAAATAACATCGCATCGATTAGATTAATATAATTAGATTAGACATCGATACTACGTTGTACGTATGTCAATCAATTCAAAATGAAAAAAAAGTATATAGCAGTTTCAATTATTATTATAAATACCGTTTTTTGTACATAAAATTGATTGTCTCAATTTGTATTGGAATTGCGATTAAAGTATATTGATATAAAAAGATGTTTAATTTATACAATTTTAAACAATTAATTTGTTTTATTTATTTCTAAAATTTCGTTTCCTTAGAATATAGAACATATTGGAAAAATAGTGCATTTCGAGAGTGATTTCTATGAGTTTAGGTAATTAATCTACATTTACAATTGCATCAGTCATTGTTAGTCCAAACGATGATTGATACTATGTTTGTGTGTACTGTGTATGTTGTCTTCTTCTAAATTCGTAAAAAGTTTTTTTTTCGTTAAATTTGATGCAAATACACGATGGCAGAGAAATTGTTCAATATTAGTTACCAGTTGGGAGACAATTTCATTTCGATCATTTGTTATGTGTTCGTTCCTCTTTTCATTTTCGTATAACTAAAGCTAATGTGCTTTTAAAAGCTGATCAATCTCAACCAAATTGTTTTTTTTTTGTTAAATTGATCATTGGAAAAAATAATAATAATAATAATTAAAATCGACTCATTTCGGATCGGAGATTCGCGTGCATTTCAAAATTAATTTTCTTTACAATTTCTACAGCCATTCAACTGTCTGAAGTAAAGTCTGTAAATAGAATTTACTATAACAATTTCAAGACCTATCGAATCAGAAAATCGATGAGAATAGATAAGTTGAATAGCACCAATTGGTTTTCATTTCATGCAAAAAACACACATTGATTTCATTTTATTACTTTTTATACACGGCTTTGATAAGCATACAAAACAAAAGAGAAAAAAAGAGTACAAAGTTAGCGCGCAAGATAAGCCAATTTTATCCTCATTGGAATGGAAATCAGAATGAAATGAGCAAAAAATATTATAATGTACAAAATAAAATAAGAACATTTTGAGATTGAGTTTATTTCAATCGATTTGTAGCAGCTATCTAAAAAAATTTACAATTTTAATAATTTAAACTTACAATCGGGTTTCTTTTTTTTAATAGTAAATAATTCTATAGACGAACGTTTTTTGCATCGAATTTTTTTCTGTTTCCATAAGATTCATATCTTTTTCTTTTTTTTTGAAATAAATGTTGTTTAATTAATTGCTTTCTTCAAAGCATGTGTCAATGTATATGTGTGCGATTGCGTGAGAGTAATTTCATTTTGCATAGAGTAAATGATTTTCATGTATAATTAAAAAAAATATAATAATATTAATTTCTGTTTCGATTTTATTTCTCGAATCACTAATTGGTTTACGTCCGTTTCAAATTCAAATGAGCTCGATCGTTTTCTATCAAAAAATTTCTGTTTTTTTTTTCTTTCGCGGGAAACATTTATACACAATTAGTTCACCGAATAAATTGCATCGAACAACAAAAAAATAATTCTTAAACTATTCATCATTTCATTTTGTGTGTAAGTGTATATTGAGATATCGGTATAAAAGTGATCGTGTATGGTTATATACATAAAAAAATATTTTTTTTCACTCTACAAGTTTACACGTTTGCCTTTCTTCTATGAAATCAATATAGTTTTGGTAATTCGTTTTTTAAACCCTTCAAATCGAAAAAAAAAAATAACGTGAAAATCTTTTTTCATTCTGACTGAAGTAAAAAAAAATTGATTTTGATTCAATAAAATCAACGGAAAATTAAATAGGCTGCCAACTTCTATGCACAAATTAAATTTTAAAATAATTAAATAGATGCGTGCGTATGTGAATCGACGGTCAAAATTTAAATGCAGATTGATTAAAAATGGAGGGATGCAAGCTGGTCTTGAAATTTTATTTAACTTTGACATGATTTCTATTCTGCGCGTAATTATCACAAAATCAATAGAATTTGATTTAAAAAAAGACGAAATGAAAAAAATTAATTCATCAAAATTATGGCGGTATGAGCACAGATGTAAATCTAATATTTAATTCTAATTTGTTATTTGCATTTATAGTTCAACACACGATGCTCAAGTGCTATCTATCCATGAAAAATATTGACATCGATTCACATTGTTTTAACTCTTTAAATTAAACGCGCAGTAAAATTAAAATTAAAAAAGAATGGAAAAAATTGTTCAACTGAGATTTCATTTTTTCGGTATTTCTACTCTTAAAAAAGGAATTAATTAATAACAGATACGGTAATGCTGCTGAACAATTTTTTTCATCATCAAATGTGAAATAATAATTAAAATAAAATAGGTAAAAAGACTGCACGAAAGTATTTTTTTTTGTTAAATCGAATGCATCGTAAACGAGCAAAATGACAAGAGCCAATGAAGAGTGTGTATGTATAAAACGACCACAGAAAGAGAGACAGTGAATTAAATTTTGGAAGTTTAAATAATATGAGTGTGTTAAATTTGTCGACCATCTTTGGCCGTTAACTTATCAATTAGCTCTTGTAACGGTGCCAATTCTCTTCGATCGATTAAACTAAACTCTTGTACGAAAAATATAAAATGCTTAAACGATGTATTGAGATGCGCTTCTTCACCCAATCGCACCACCTCCGAAAAATGTTGATGATAAATGTGAGCATACACACGAAACAATCGCTTTAGAATCGTTTTTGCACATGATAAAAAATTCTTCGGAAATGGTACACCTATTTTCGATGGAAACAATGTTTCATCGTCTAGCTGATCTTGAACCCATGTCATTAAATAGTCAATGTATTTTGGTGCGCTACATTTGATTGGTTTCTTCACTGTTTGACCATCTGCCCAATGATATTCGTATTTTGGACCGGCTGACATAATGCTACAACTATCCTCTGTACAAAACTCCGTTATTGTGCCATACAGCATGTTTATTTGATTGAAAAAATCAACGGCTGCAAAATAAAAAAACGAAAAAACAAAAAGAAATCGCAACGGATTATGTATTGAATGAATGTGGCTCTTATGAAGTGCGCATAAACGCTATGCGTATGTGTGTATGTGCGTGCACTTACTGTTTACGGCAACCCATTCATTAAGATCTTCTCCATCGGGAAGGGCAACCGCATTACGAAGATTACCAGAACCCAAAGTGGCTGCTGCATGCTTCATTAAATCATATTGATGTGTTCCTTCCGGTATGTTTTTCTTCGGCTTGAATGTTTTACTCGACCGGCTGTTCAAGAAGCACAAACAAAAAAAGAGAAAAAAAAACATAAACAATTTTTCACTTAGTGAAAACTCGTGCAAATAGTTTGATGTATTAAATACACTTTGTGTTCTCAAATGCATAGTAAATTGTTGTTGGTTGCTTTGAAGATGATGACGCTTACCTTGATCCGCTGAAAAGAGAAAATAAGAAGAATCAAATTAATTGTTTGCAACATTATAAATTCGTTCGATGATGTGCGAGAGAAAAGGTCACATTTTTCAAAGATAAATTTAAAGCACTTTTTTTACACTTTTATGATGTTCAATAAAAAAATGTCTGTTAATAACTTTATTTTTACCGAATCGTGTTCAGAATTCTGAAGTATGGGAAATTTATACAGATTCGTTTGTATGTTTTGCTACGTAAACACATTTTTTTCATGATGTCATTTATCTGTTAAAATGTTAACGAAAGTGTCGATTCGATGATAAATCACGATATCTAGCAGCAGCAACAACAACAACAAACGATAAACTGAATTCACGGTGTGCTGTATGTAGAAAAGATTACAAATGACGAATCAAGCAAAATCAACGGCACCGATCAAAAATAAAGAAAAACGTATTTTTTTTTTTTGCTTTTGTCTTTGAATGCTTGGTAATCAAATGCAGAAAAATAACACAATATAACGATAGCAACAACTATGAGGTAATTTCGGTATTTTGTATGCAGTTCAAGAATATCTGTCACGGGCTGCTTTCTTACAGTAACAGCACGAAGTGCGTATGATTTGCATAACAATGGATATTTGTTAGAATGTTAGCCATACTCTTAAATTGGAACGCATGCAAAAAAAGAAAACAACAACAATGACCGCAAAAGAAGAAGAAGCAGAAGAAAAAAAAACACTTTGAATCGAGATGCAGAAATTAAGTGAACAGCGCACCAAAATCACTTCGGTTGAATACTGTTTGGTGGTTCGATGTTGTATTGTAGTCGTGGTCTTGGTTTTTGTTGTCGTCGTTGTCGTTGTTGTCGTCGCTCGAGTATTGAACGGTGCACACGCGATAATTACGAATTGTATCGCAATGTAATACAGTATGTACACTTAATAGCCATCCATTACAGGCATTAATGTGGGCAATCTGTTCTTTATTGTTGTTGTTGTTATTGTCGTACGTGTATTTGGTCTTTTGTGTTTTACTTACAAGAAAAAACTCATTTTATTGACTCCGTTCATTCCACAAGAAATTTTCAACTGCACTTTGTTTGTATGTTGTTGTGGTTCAAAATTCTTTCGCTTGCTTTTATCTGTCTCGGAAACTGTCCCTGTCTTGTCTCTGCCTTGTTAAGATCGCCTCTTTATATCACACTGAATTATTATTCTTCTTCTTCGTTTTTATTTAAAAAAGTTACACTCTAAAAACAATGTACATAAAATATCGGGCATGTAAAAAAATCTAGACACTAAAATTTAATCAAAGCACTTGGTTTTTATGAATGTGTCTGTCATTTATTTATTTCGATTTTTTTTTTGTTATTTTTTATATCTGTCTGTATCTACAAGTCATTTCACAATTTTATATAAATCAAAAAATAAATTTTTGACTGATACAATTTTGTCTCTTTCTCTTTCACTCTCTTGCTCGCTCGTTCGTTCATTTGTGCTCATTTCCGCGTTCAATCATTTCGATTGCTCGAAATATTTTTGTTTTTGTTTTTTCTTGTCTTTCTTTCTTTCTTTTCAACATACAAAATTCGGGTATTGAGAGAAAAAAATCCAAAAGCGAGCAGAATATAAAATCACAAAGTAAATCGCCTTTCTCAATGGAAATCGAATCGAAAAAAGAATTAATATATTTAACTTGCTAAAAACACACACACGCAAATACCGAAAATGAACTGAACGACAGTGTTTTTCAACGAAATTTAAAGAAAAACGAAAAAATTATTAAGAATTTTTAATTTATGTTTGATTTCCTTTTTGGTTGAATCGGTAAAAAGTGATATTGCTATGGAAAAAAGGAAAAACAAAATGCACAACCTATACTATTGAAATTATTGTCTGGGCAAATATGTCAAAATGTTCTCCTGTTCGATTCATGAATATTGTTGTATTGTGTGTATTAATATATTATTACGCTAACAGGTATTCAAGTGTATACACTCTTCTCTGACTGACGCAAAACCATGTTAAATACACATAACACTCATCGACACACTCAACTCGCCTTTACAATTGTATTGGTTTTGCAATGTGTGCTACATGCTTGCTGTACTAAACCAAATTCTATACTCCGACTATCATCTGTGAGTCACCATAATCCGTAAAAGTCTACCGAACCATTTTTATTTACTTTACTTTCTTTTGTTCGCTTTTAATTTCGGGAACGGCGCAAATTTCTTTTTGAATCTCATTTGAATAAATAAATTGAATTTTTCAATGTTGATGCTTCTCATTTTGACATTGTGTCGATTGTGTTGAGGTGAAATTCGATTGTCGTCATCATATGTATGTATCAATATTTGATTTTGGCAAACGAAAGAAAATTTCTCAATTTCAAATGCAATATTTTTTTTTTTTTTGAAAATATTTATGCCAATTGTCAATTTAATGTAAAAAATTCTTCGGTGTCGATAGAATTCGGTGAAAGAAAAACGGAATACATTTGAATTAGAACAGCATCAGATGATGGTGGTAATGCAGTTTTGGTGAATGCTAAATGTCATTGGTGCGACAGTCAACGAATTTGTTGATAAATGAAATTATTGTGAAATTCCCTCCATTTCAAGCAAAACTCACAGTTGGAATCCAAGTTTTGGCGAAATAGTTTGTGATGTGCGATACCAAATAAAAAAAACATCACATAAACAATGGGAAAACGAAAATCAACTGTATCACCGAGCCACGATGCTCCTAAACGGAATCGTACGCAACAAAATAACAATGATTCAATCGAAGAAGTAAGTACATAAAGTATTCTATATAGAACATTTTTGGGTTTTTTTGTGCATGATCATGTATGTTCATGTTTTGCAATCGTTTTTTTTTTAATTTCCGCGAATTAGGAGGCAGAAGCAAGCGGTTCGGACTTTAATGTTTCGGCGGATAGATTTGATCTTAGTACACGTAGCGGCAAAATATTGTCAGTTAAACTGCGTAATTTCATGTGCCATTCAAATCTAACAGTTGACTTTAACCTACGCACAAATTTGCTGATTGGCCAAAATGGCAGTGGTAAAAGTGCAATTCTAACAGCACTTATCATTGGTTTGGGTAGCAAAGCAAATGCCACTAATCGTAGTAGCAGTATCAAAGGTACATTTTATTGTCGTCTCTTTTTTTCTATTGTGTATTTGTCAAATGAAATCAATTGTTTGCCCATTAAATCAATCTTATCATGACTGACGTGCATTCTAAATACACTTTATACAGAATTGATCAAAACGGGTGAAACATCGGCCACAATTGAAGTGCATATTTCAAACGATGGTTCCGATGGATATGAAATTGAAAAATATGGCAATCGAATTGTAGTGGTTCGTCAAATAGGCGCATCGGGTTCGTCCACATACAAATTGAAAAGTGCATCGGGCGCTGTGATTTCAACTAGCCGTGCTGAACTCTTGAAATTGATTTTATACATGAATATTCAAGTTGACAATCCAGTATGTGTTATGACACAAGATGCATCACGAGGTTTTTTGCGAGAGTGAGCATTTGATTTGTTTATGGGGAAAATCCCACATTTTTTTTCATAAATAAAATATTTCTAAGCAATGGTTGTTTTGGTATGTGTTGACAGCTCCAATCCGAAGAAAAGATATGAATTGTTTTTGAAAGCAACGCAATTGGATGTTACCATTGAAAAATTGAATGGCTGCTTGCAACAATTACAAACAGCCAAAGGAAAATACAAATTACTGCTAAAGACACATGAAAATTATGAGGATATACAAAAGAAAGCACACACAAAGCTCGAACAATTCAAATCGATGGAACCGTTGAAAGTGAGTTGTTTTTTTTTCTTTATTTTTATGGTTTATTTAAATTGATTGTGAAAAAAATTTATGGAATTATTTAATTCACAGAAAGAGACCCATCGTTATAAATGCGAACGAGCATGGTTGACTGTGGTGCAGCAAGAAGAATTCATAAAAGCCGTGAATGCTGAACTTGAGGGTACGCAACGCAAAATTGAAGAAAATGAACAAAAACTTGCCACTTTCAATGATCAAGAGATCAACGAACAAAATGCACAATTGACCGAAGAAATTGAGCAATTGCGTCAGAAAATCGCCGACGAACAGAAGAAATTAGAAGTCGAAAAGACAAAATATAAACAAAAAATCGAACAGATCAACAACAACGATCGCAATGTCAAAAAACTCGAAGCACAAACGGCCAAAGTTCAAGAAACTATTGCCACTTTAGAGGAAAACATTCAAGCCGAACTAAATTCGTAAGTGATATTTCATCATTTTTATATACGATCTTATTCAATAGCTAATGAACTCATTCGAATAAAAAAAAAAAAAAACAATAGGAATAAAAATCAAGTTGACGAATTGAAAAAAGAGAACGACGCCAAATTGGATGCCATTAAGGAAAAAAAGGAAAACTATGAAACGGTCTTAAAAAGTCATCGTCGCGATTTGGAAGTATGTGAAAAAAACTGTTAACTTTATTTATTGTAATATTCATGGCATTTTTTATGGCATTTTTTTAGATCTTCACAACTACCCGCACAAAATGTCAAACAAAGTTGGAGGCAAAGAGACGTGAAATTAACAAATTTATGGATGAAAAAAGTAAGAATTATACTGAATTGATGAGAACGTAATCTTAATTTCTAACTCATCTTTTGATGAACAAAGGCATGAAATGAAGATTTTTCATTTGTCGATTGTCAACGTTCATTGTTCATATGAGAATTGGTATTTATTTCTTTATTATTTTTTTTCCAGAAAATGTTGAAATGCGATTGCGGCACATGAATGCCACGCCAAAGGAAAATCTTAAAGTATTTGGTGACAATATGGTTAAATTGGTTGATATGCTGGAACAGTACAACAAACAAGGAAAATTCCAAAAAACGCCAATTGGGCCGCTTGCCAATCACATTGAGGTCAAAGATGCTAAATACCGTCAATTTGTTGAAGACGTATTGGGCAATACACTATTGGCATTTTGTGTTGATAATGCAAATGATTTGACAACATTTCGTGAAGTTCTGAAAAAAGTCAACACCAACAATCAGCAACAATTCAATGTGCCAGTTATTTGTTCCACATTCTTCAATAAACAGTATGACGTTACTGGAAAATGTGTAAAACGTGACCCAAATACGTGTCGCCTAATGGATATGATTGTGGCTGACAATCCAGTGGTGATGAACTGTTTGATCGATCAGTGCACTATCGAAGGCATTTTGTTCACAAACTCCTTTGAGCATGCCGCACATATTACGTCGAAAAAAGAAAATGTCCCCGAAAACATGTTGAAAGTCATATTGACCAAACCATACAGCGAATATTATCCGGCACCGCAATATCGTTCCTATGTGAAAACACCGCGACCAACACGTTTTTTGCGTGTCAACGCAGCTGATCGAGAACGGTAAACATTTTTTTTTTTTTTTTTTTTGTTGAGAAAATCGTTTTCGTGATATTTTAATAGTGAATATTATTTTATCATAGGGAATATCGCAATGATTTATTGCAAATCAACGAGAAAATAAATGCTGCCAAAGAAGAGGCGGAACAATATCAAACCCAATTGAACGAAAACGCAAGACTTGCCAAAGATCGTCGCGATCTCATTACGGAAAATGAATCCAATCTTCAGATGTTGAATTTGGAAATATCCGAAATTCAATCAATTGAGTACCCAGAAGAAGCTGACGTTCAAGTCATGGTAAATTAAACACAAAACATCAAACAAAATTCGATAAATTTTTAATGGTTTTTATCATATCCACAAAAAAAACAACAGCAAAACGAAGTGAACGAACAATCCAAGCGGTTGGCCAAATTAAATGCTGAATATGAAAAGGAACAAGGCAAAGTTGATGAACTGAATGTGGAGGTTCGTGAAATTAAGGAGAAATTAGTTGACATCAAAAAGCAAATGCAATTGATGGACAACGAAATTCAATCCAAGCAAAAATCCAAAGATGATTTAAACGAAAATTTTACGAAACGTGTATCAATGGTTGCATATCATAAGAAGCAAATAAAACATCTCACCGAAGCAAAGGTCAAATACGAGGTAATTTACTCAATCATAATTTGAAAAACATGCCAATGAATTTAAATGAATTTATTTCGTGGTCATTTGTAGAAAGAGATGGAAAAGTTAAATGAAAAGCTACAGAAACTGGAGGCAACCGCCCAAAAAACTGGCAATCGAGTTGAAGTGAGACACAGCGAAGAAGCATTGGCCAAAAAGATTAAAAACAATGAAAATAAACTCAAGTAAGTCACACGATACAGTACAGGCCAAAAGTTTGGAAACCCTGAATAAAATTTTGGACGTTTTTCGGTTGTGCGAATTTTCCACTTCCAGTGATTTGATCTTAATGAATTTTGGTACGGTACTCTTAACTTCGCATCAATACTTAACGTGGTTTCAAAATGGCAACTGTCCGTATTTTAGGTCCCGCTTCCCAAAAATTGAACATTTTAAAATGCATAATTTTCAAACTAGTTATTAATGTTTGATTTCGAAATTTTGCAGTTTTAATCTACTTGATATGTAGATAAAGTATACCAAAATTTATTTTAATTGGATAACTGGAAGTATATTTTTCAGCACCCGAAAATCTTAATTTTCTATGAGATTTGCACAGGGTTTCCAAACTTTTGGCCTGTACTGTATATATATTATATACATACTGAAATATCGGTGTCTAATTGTCATTTAAATTGTAGTTCGGTGAATACATCGAATGAAACATTGGAAGAGGTGACACGCCAAGCGGAAGAAGCCGATGAAAATGTTTCGCGAAGTGAAGATTTGATTAAAATACTTGGTTCATCACTGCAAATGGTAAATTTACAACTCTTTCTCATTCGCTGCTCATTGCTAACATTTTTGTTTAATCCATTTTTTAGATGGGTACCTCGATTAAAATGCGTTTGAGCAATGTGTCAAAGTTGAAAAAATTTATGATAACACGTGCGGGTCTCTACTTTACGGTATGTAAAAAAAAAATGAATATATGCCACGGTGAATTAAATCAATTTCTTTTTGTATTGATAGGCCATCATGAAATTACGAGGGATTGATGGATCTTTGAAATTCAATGACGAGCAGAGCACTTTGGACATTGTGGCTGTACCAAGAGACAAAGATTGTGAAAATGCGGCATCAAAAACTTCGAATCTTTCCGGCGGTGAACGGTCATACACAACGGTTGCATTTCTTTTGTCGCTATGGTCATGCGTCGATCATCCATTCTACTTCCTGGATGAGTATGATGTCTTTACGGTATGTTTAAACATCATATGCTGAAACGCGTCTTCAACATTTTATTTCATCATTATTCTCTCTTCTAATCTTAGGATCAAGTAAATCGCATGTTCATGACAAAATTACTATTGAACGAAGCTCAAAAGAAGCCACTTCAATACACATTCCTAACACCACAAGATACTTCAGAGATTAATCCAACCGACGCACTGTCCATTTTGCGGTGAGTCAAAAGTGAACTTTTCACACTTTTCAGCTCAATATAATTAACAATTTTATTGCTTTCGTTTGTAGCTTGGAGAATCCAAACCGATAAATCAGCGATCGCCGAATATAAAGGGTTCTTTGAAAAGCCCAAGTGTGTTCACAAATACAAAAAAAAAAAACCATCAAACACCATCGAAACAAAAATGAAACTAATAATATTAAAGGATCTTTTCTCAAAATGTATAAGCTAGACTTGTTGATTAAATAAAGAAATCTATTTTCGAATTTACAATAAAATCCATTTGTTTTCATTTGAGTAAAAAAAGGCACATGTACTTTAGTGTGTACTCAAGGTTTGACAGTTCTCAATGTTACATTAAACAGTATGACATTTTCGGTCGTATTTGATTTTCAACATTGACGGGATCTCATTCAGGTATTAATGAAATTTATAAATTCCAATGCATAAATGAGATTTAAAAAAAAAGAAATGTTGTAAATTAAAAAAACGAAACAATTTTCACGATATGTTCTTATGTAATTACGTAATTACTGAAATAAATTCGTTCAACACATTCACATGTTTTTTGGTTATGTTTTGCTTTAGAACCAAATGATTTTATTTTGCAGGTTTTAACGAAATTATAATGATTTCGATTCTGTTTTTAACACGGAACATCCGAAGAGCCGCTTTTTCGAGAGGATTCAGCAATGCAACCATTCCGACAATAAAAGATGTCGATGATGAGAAGAAAGCCAATAGGTCTGATAAAAAACCCGAACAAAGTAAGATCAACTCTACAAAACGTACGTATTTGAAGTGAATTAAAAAAATACAGTATTCATAACAATAATGAAAGAACATGTACACAAATAATTTCTTCTATTTTTCAGTTTTCGAAAAAATCAAATCAATCGATCAGAATGTATCAACGACAACAACAACAACAACAACAAAACCACCACAACAAAAGTCGCCCACTACTCCTATAAAAAAAGATTTTGCATCAAGTCTTACCGCAGCAACTACCGTTTCCGAGGTATTGGAATTAAGCGAAAAAAATGTGAATCAAAAAAATGCCATGGGAATTTTAACGAAATTATCCATGTTAACCGCATCGAAAAAAGCCGTTGTTACAGATTACGAGAATGACTATCGATTTTTGAAAATCTGTCAAATTTTATCGAAATCTCCATCATCAGGCGGCTTTCAAAAGGTGAAACCATCAGTTCCATCATATGCAATTAAAAAATCAGCCCAAGTGGAAATGGTACTGGGTGTTGCTGGTGATGATGAAGCTTCTGAACTAGTTAAAACTCTATCATTATCGCAAAAAGTCCGTGTGTTTTCATCGTTGGCGAGAAAAAAAACGCGCAGCATTGTCGTATTAAAAGCATTGGCATTATCTATTTGTTTTGATGCCGCCAACATGAATTTAAAAGAATGCTCCGATCTATTGTTTGCAATGAATTCACTCAATTTTATTGATGATATGCTTTTGACTCGGGTCGCAAACGACATAGGTGTTGGACTCCCAAACAATGTGAATAAGATGGCTGTGGTCGGTTCGATAATAACAAGTGTGGGCATTTTAAAATTTAGAGATACCAAATTGCTTGATAATTTATTGAAACATGTTGTTGCACAGCATAATCTGTGCCGACCGAAAGATTTAGCATCGTTTATTTTAACATTGGCGCAAGTGAATTATCGACCACAAAATGTTGCAGATATCTCATCAACACTAATACCGAAAATCTCAAAAAGTGATTTATGGATTGGTGAATGGTTAGACCATGTGTGGGCACTATGTGTTCTTGATTTGTATGAATCAAGCCATTTGGAATCGGTTCTTTGGTAAATAACATTTCTATTTTCTATAGTATAAAATCAATTTAAAAAAAATGTTCATATGAAAATACGGCAAATCTATTTTCAATAGCCCACAATTTTTGGAGCAGTTTTTGCGTGAACAGAAAACGGAAGATCTTTTGCCCGCACAAAAAATGAAAATATTGAACATTAATGCAGTGGCAAAACATTTTGCAACAGAATACAATGGACCCTATCTCGATCCAAAATCTCCAGTCAATAATTGCCGATTTGGATATCGAAAAAGTAAAAAAATATTGGTACAAGGATTGCTCGATACACTTACAAATTTATTCACTTCAACTTCATATATCCGAACCTCATATGATATGAATTTGGGTTTTATTATTGGTAAATGTTAAAATTCATTGAAATTTTATCTTTTTTTTTTTTAATACATTTCTATTTCTTGTGTATTCTAGATGCGGAATGTGTATTGAGTGAGAATCGAACTCCATTAGCTATTGAATCCGAGATAAAGAATGCATCGAGGTAAAAAATTAAATATTCGAAAAATGTTTAGAAATTTTCCTGCTGTAAATTACTGAAATAAGCTTAAATACATTTTCGTTTTTTTTTTCAAATCATTCCAGAGTGGCGTTTATGGTACTGGACTATTACGACATCTGTAAAGGCGAAGAAAAACAACCAAATGGCATTCAAGCATTGACTATTAAATTATTGGAGAAAAACGGCTACAACGTTTTACTTGTACCACACTATGAATTCAGTACGAGCGATAAAGTTTTGAAAAGAGTTCAATATTTAGATTCAAAACTTAAGAATATTCTTAAACAATCCAGCAATTAGTTAAAGCGAACATGTATGTTTCTATTGATTGAAAGAACTTTGTAGCAAATGTTCATAAGAGTTGAATAAATCAAAGATTACAATATTACTTGTGTCATACTACTACGCAAACTATATATTTTCCATCAATATTCTCATTTTTTATGGTACACTTGCATTAGAAAAATGAAAATATTTTAAATTATATCAAGAAACTTAGGCTTCGTTGTTGTGAATGTTGGTCGCAAAAAATTTAATAAATTTTCCGTTGTTCAGCTTCTTCTCGCATTTATGTTGAAGGCAAACATGTGTGTTGTTAATGCATTTTTTATCTTTAGTAAATTTTTCAACAATCACTATATATGCATATGGTATGATAGAATAATTTAAGTCCACGAAAGCGGAGCACCAACTAAACGTAAGCGTTCATAAATTTTGACAATGTGTTACTAATGCTTTTCTTAGCTTGGTGTCTGTTTAGCTATGGATAAATGCTCTATTTACTTTACTTTCGCCTTCATAAAATATACACACGTACATATATTCACATGCAGATATACAACACAAGCTTACTTCTTTAACCATATAGACTTTGCCAACTTATTTGATTTATCCGACCGGTTTCCGTTCACATTAGAGAATCAGCAAACTATATTTATATATATCTGACAAATTCAGTGGAAAAGAAAGCTTAATTTGTTCCGTTACTGTCCAAAATATTATATTATCTCATGAATTTTACATAGAATTATTCGGAAGTAGCACAAATACTACTTAATTCTTCCACTTCCACCGCCATCGAACCAAAAAAAATGTTATGAGAACCCTTGTTCACTGATTTAAAATTCATTGGGTACTTTTTGTTGCACTTTTTCATTGAAAATGATTGAAATTGCCGTTCGAAGGAAGAAGTGTGCTACTCGTTTGGCAGTTACAGTGATATGGTAAGTGATGATACTTAAATTCATGTGAAACGATTGAAATGTAACTCTTGAAATTCAAAATAAACGTTTTTCTCAATATGTAAATTCGATTTGAAAACACTCCCAATTGTCGTCAAAAGCCATTTTAGCCAACAGAATCGAGCATTGAAGAAGACAATGCAAAAAAAAACAGACAATATCAATGCAAATTGTATTGAAATAGCAAATAGATGATGAGATCGGTTTATGTGGGTCATTAATTTAAATGGAATCGACGTCAACGGGAGCATCGTAAGACCTATCCATCAAGTGGTGCTGATTTTGTGCAAAACGAAAAAAAATCAGAGAAAGCTTAAAAGAAATATTACAGTTGGAAGCCACTCAGAAGAAATTGCAAAGAAATAAACGTGCCATTAAAGATTTGATTCGTTAGAGCAGTCAGTGAACAGCTAGGGGGAGATTGCGAAGTTGTTTACAAGAAGAATATAAACAAATATATACGACTATGCCACCAATATATTCCAATATACTTAACAAAATACTCTAGCTATTAGAGTATTACTCTAGTTACTTAAACGACTCACTGTAAAAATATTATTGAAAAGAAAATGTTTCAATGAAAAACCGAAAAAATGGTTTTTTCTTGATTTGTATAATTAAAAAAAAATGTTTAATTTAATTTTTTTATTTTTTATTGTGTGTTTTATTTATTTATTTATCCGTGGATTATGTATATTAAACTAATTTTGAACAATATATTGTATTTTACCATTTGTACTCTAGCAAGTACTTGTACTCTAGTATTTACAAGAGTATTTTATATAATATAGTGGAATATATTGGTGGCATATTTGAAAAAAGTGGTTCATATTCGTATACGAATATAAACCAATGTGTCGCAAATATTTGTCAATCACGACTATATGCACGCAATCTCCCCCTAGGTGAACAGTTATTGCTTTTTTACTGTAGGTTTTTTGTCGGCGCATATGACACATACAACTTGGATAAAAATCACACAAATGTGATGCTAGTGTGGTGAGAAATGAATAATACAGTTGAAATAAGTTTTCACGATTAAATATTAAGATAAAAGCTAATGGTTGACACTTGAGAATGCGTAAATGACACATTTAAATTGTGTATTATTCCAACCGAAGAAATGCTTTTAAGCCATAGTGGCAGGCACAGCTCCGTTTACCACTTTTCAATTATTAATCCGCGCAAACTGAAAGGAGACCTGTAAAATGCAGTTTTTGTCGTTGTTTCTCTTTTTCGTTTACTACAGTTTTAATTAAAATATGCACATAATTAAGTTAGTTAGGCGCAACCAGACATTACACACAAAAAACACCTATCCTCAATATGGGACTATACGTATATTTAGATACTTTCAGGCAGCTAACGATTTTTATCCTATACAATCACTACTATTGTTTTCACTCCATTTCAGCGCCTGACGTTAGCTGTCTGAACTGATTCTGCTGCCTGAAAATATAATGTCTGGGCACAGTCAAAAAAAAAAAATTCAAAAAATAAACTTGGATTCATGAATATTCGTGGAAAACAACGGGACGTTATTTTTTTTTTTAATTTACGTATACATGCAAAATATCAGTACAAAAATATATTTAATTTAAGTTATGAGTCGTTATAATTCGCATCCTACCGAGCCGCTTAAGCGAATAGTATGAAACATCTACATACATAAGACTTTTCAATGAAAATTATCCATCTCCTATCCTTGGTTACCACAAGCATAATGATACGCTTTCATTTTAGCGCCAACTGAAGGAACAGAAAGCAATATAAATAAAATCAGAATATCAACACGTCGGTACATGGTTTTGTAATATTTGCCAAAGCAGGGAACAATGAAATTACATGTGGAAAATGGAGCATTTTATTCAAGTATACACCTTTGCTTCATGCGTTTTGACAATTTCACCCAGAGAGCTTATGCATCTGCACTATTTTTCTCTCATTGTGCATGCCAAGGCCAATTTCGTTTGTGAATGCATAACATTGTACTACAATATTGGTGAAAGTTGTCACTTCAATCATTTTGTTCGCACGGTGTATGCATTATACAGAAAAGAAAGCGAAAGAGAATAAATGTATGAAAAAAATAGCATAACTGCAGTACAATAAATGTGCTTTGTGATAGTTTTTGTTGGTGCAAAAACATTATTCATAAAATTGTCAGTAAATATTTGATGCATTTTTAAACAGTAAGCATCTAAGGTGTAATGCGATTGTGCATTTAGAGAGTATATTATTCAGAAAATATTCATATTTATGCAATGTACGCATTACATTCATTTCACTAAGTACGTAAATACTTACTTAAATAAATATTTCAAATTTTCAAATCGGTTTCAAATTCCTTTTTTTATAAAAGCATCTTCATAAAGTTGCATGGATTTTACATTCAAAATGATCCATAACTTTTTTTATGCAAGCATTGTGTGAGTTTGTCTGTGTTTATTTTTGCCAGCATAATATTCATTCACACAGCACATGTATGATTGATTGTGACGATTTCATCAATTCATAATTTAAATGCGAAAGGTACCATTCACAGACAGGGTTTTTCATAGATACGTATCTATCTATATCTATAAAAGATATCGTAGATAGATAAAATCTAATATCTATCTAACTGCTATATTAATAATTTAGATACGCCTCATATCTATCTATCTTTACCGAAAAATATCATTAGAGAAAAGATAGATATATACAAATATTTCAATTTTTGGCCCAAAAACGAATATTTTGTATGAGAGATACCCTTAACCCTCCTAGGTATAGAGTTAAAAAAAACTTGAACGGATAGAGTCGGTCCATTGGACCGCCCAAATAATACATACAAAATGTATGAAAAGTCTATGAAACGAACAAAATTATCGTGTAATTCCATTTCTTGCATTATAAACAATGAACGCAGCGACTCCACAATGTGGAGTCCATATACATTGATCAAGTTTATGAAGAAAGGCCAACGATTTTTGCCTCGTTGACATGAATAGCTATGACACAGTTGATCTGAATGATCAACGCCACCTTTTGTGCTGTTATAAAATGTGTTGATTTCATCTTCAGAAACCACACTTTTGTTCGACAGCGAACGAATCATGTTTGTATTTCTTAGCTTATATACACATATACACAAATTCTTTCTTTTTTATTCTTTGCTACATTGCTGAATCTACTCTACAGACATGGCTACCATACAAAAATCCAAATTTTTTGTGGCTTTAGTTATGAAAAGTGTTTCAAAAATTAGGCGTATCTAAATTATTAATATAGCAGTTAGATAGATATTAGATTTTATCTATCTACGATATCTTTTATAGATATAGATAGATACGTATCTATGAAAAACCCTGCTCAGGTGTAGTCGAGCGTATTTTCAATCAATCCAAATTGATATTCACGCCACAAAGAAATCGAATTTTATCAACGAATTTCGAGCGCATTTTACTTTTAAAACACAATCGTAAAATATTTGAAAAATAAAACGACGAAAGGAAACAGAATATTTTGGTTTTTTATTTGTAGTTAATCGTCGCGAAAAATATCTAAAAATAATAGATAGATTTAAGAAAAGATAGATATTCAAGATATCTTATCTTTATCTTATCTTTTTAATTTTTTGAAATACTGAAAATCTTTATCTTATCTAGATACAAATTTCGTATCTATGAAAAACCCTGTTCACAGATGTGAATCATGGATTAACCTTTGATTTAGCGCTATTCCAAATCCAATAAGTAGGAGCGAAAATGTGATAGGAATAAGCAGAAAATCGTAATATTTCTATTTGCTGCAAATGTGCTTGAATAAAATGCGAACACTTTACACACAGGCACGCGCGCGCACACATTGAGCATTCTTTTTTCATCGTATAAATTTAAGGCGATATGATGAAATGTGTGTAGAGAGATAGAGAGGGGAGGTGTTATATTATATATGTTTGACATAAAATTCTGCACTTCAATGGCGTGCATATGCTTTTTCATTGCTCATTGCTAATAAAAATCACAAATAATCGTCATCTATAAAAGCCTAATGGTTTTATTCTCTCTTTTTTGTTCAACATTTTTCGCATCGTTTTCTTTGGATTCGCCTTCTTTTACAACACTTGCAATACACTTTGTCCTTCGTCTCGATATCGATACCGACCGCTTTTTTTGTCGTACACTT